CCATAAACCGACTTCGCGGTAATCCACGCAAATTACAACTGAACGATGCCGCACTTATTGCATTTTCAAACATCAAAAGGGATTGGTCTCAAGCCCACTTCTCGCTCACCCTGACCCATTAGCCTCGCTTAGTAAAGCGGTCGATGCATCGAACTTCGCTGTAGGAGTCGTTATGCAACAAAACATCTTCAGAAGTTTGTAACCTCTCGAATTTTTCTCGCGACGCCTTACTCCCATGGAGACGAGATATGTAGCTTTTGGTCGAGAAGTAGCTCAGGTACTATCTTATATGCCACTCCAACTGGTCTACCACGGCCCATAGAAACCCACCACTTACCGTCGTCTATTCTTCGACGCCCTTCATGAACTGTCTCATCCAGGTATCGCGATCGCATTCGCCTCATCGCTGCATGATACGTCTGGCCGTCCATAAATAAAGATATGCGGATGTAGGTAAAGCAATGCTTAAATTTTAACAATCAAAAGTGAACAGGCAAGCAGCTACCCCCATTGACACGTTCTCTAAACCTGATGCTCGCTTCTTTCACGTTCATATTGACATTGTAGGACCGTTACAACCATCGCATGGGTATAATCACATGCATCGATCGTTTCACAAAGCTACTCCCATCACTTCTATTACGGTGGAAACAGATGCTAACCACTTCGTAGAACGATGGATAGCGCATTACGGTTGTCCCTCGACTGTCACAAATGACCGAAGACAACAGTTCGAGTCCAAAATATTCTCCTCGCTAACCCGTCTGCTTGGTAACGAGCGCATATGCACTACCGCCTACCACCCAACTTCAAATGGTTTAGCTGAACGGTTTCATTACCAACTTAAAAGCTCTCTTAGAGCACACGAAAACAACAGTTGGTATGAAACCTTATCACTCGTCATCTTAGGTAGCAGAACGAGCCTACAAGCGCAATTTTAATGTTCCACCGCTAAACTAGTATACGGCACGACATTGCGTCGGCCTGTGGAATTTTTCACATCACGAAGCAGCAATTATTTTGGTAAATCAGACTACGTCCATCGATTGTCTGAGAACATACCATGTTAACTCGAATACGGTATCGACAGATTGCTCTCTGTTGAGAGTTATCTACCTGTTCACAAGTTTTCATACGAGTAAATTCGGTACGCAAAACTTTGCAACAGCCTTACGAAGCACCATTTCACGTGATTTCCTGTCATGAAAAGACCTTCAAGGTTGATCGTCATGGCTGCGTCGAGATAGTCAGCATTGATCGTCTCAAGCCAGCACGCGTCCATGACAGTGCCCCACCTGATAATTTAAGATCCAATGCTAGACCCTTTTAACTACCAGCAGGACCCCTACATCTACTTCGGCTCTCAAGCCAGATACATCGGAGACCTCACTTTCGCCTACCAGTCAGCAGCACGTGTTATCTGTACAATCCAAGGATGAGACTAAAGTCTTACATCCAAATCAGTTTACCATGCCGAACTTAGCTTCCGATGAGATTGCGGGCTCACGAGGTACCACAAGACTACCGACTCGAGTTCCAACCTCCGCGCACGCCTACCTTAACGTTTTCGAGACTAATCACCCAGGCAAAAACGGATACGCGATAGGACTGTATCCTCGTACTACACGCATGCTACGCCTCTCTTTTTCATCTTTTATCCAGAGCCCACGTCTACGACAATCGCCCTGTTGGTACCATCGACTGCAGTCAATTTTGGCGAAAGCTGGCCTGATCAACCACGCTCTTTTCAATGCACTCAGTCGATGTTCTGGTTCCGAATGTATCTGTTATATGTATGGTTTTTAACTTGGTCGCTCTGGTCGTTTCTGGCTTCGTCGCTCAATCTGGTTCCGTCCTACGTCTGCAGCATTTTCTGGTCCGAACTCCTGAGAACGCAATCTTCGGACTCCAGGTACGAGCCACGCCAACTCAAGAAGCGAACCCGGCACGTTACTATTGGTACAGTTCAACATAGAAGACATTTGATGACAATCCGAGCTTCATTAGTCGCTTTCTGTTCCTCGACCCTTTCGCACTGCACTCGCAGGTTGGTCGACCAGACCCCTCCCGTACGAATCCTCTACGTATCGAAAGTGTTAACCCTTTCTAGGGGCGGCTGATGTAGTGGGACTTTTCTACGAAGGAAACGCAATTGTTGAAAAGAAAACATTTATCATTGCACTCGTTTTGTTTAACTGTACTAAAAAACTTTCGCGCAACCTTTTTTATTGCGTCGCTGCCATCATTCAAACCTCGCTGCTCGTTATATCGCCAACTTTCTTCTTTGCCCTGGATTTATTTGCATTTATTGTGACGGTATAGTAATCAGTATTTAGTGGTGATCATAGTCAATCTCGACTCGGTCACCACTAAAACCTTAACTTAAAAAGATGTCATATCTACGCCTCCATGTTTGATGACCAGAGAATAAACCTTTTTGCGAATATTTCTATGTATCTAGGGTCTCTATTTTTAATGGGACCGGAATTTAAAAAACTGCTCTGTAGTGAATGTTCTTTCAGGAATAATTTCTGAAATATGGGGAGAATTCGGGGCTAGACTGTCTGATATATAACATCCAATGACTACTATAGGACTTACATACTTAGCTGTAACCATACTATGAATGTGTTCTTTGTGCTTATCAGAGAGTGAAGTCAACAGTTATTGACAAATGTGAAATAACGAAGAGAAAACTTCATGATAGTAACCGAGCTGATTTCCTCCTGACGACGAACGGATGAAGCAGAATAATATACAAGTTGAAGCGCGATGCAGAGTGTCAATATAGCGAAATAAAAAGATTATTTCAAAATAACTTTGGCAATAGAATTCGAATCATGGATTTGACATTAAGGTGGAATACCTTATGTCTATGCAAACTACATAGCGATACAACGAAACCAAACACTTCGAGACGAGAAAAAGGTGCCACCTCACTACCAGATACAGATGTGGGCAACTTCAGCAAACCAGTTACTTGACTACACTGTGATTGCATGATAAACCAATTGTCCCACTGGATTTCATTTACACTTGCTTGCCTAATCTGTTTAATTGAGCGGCATCAAAAGAAGTCAAATGAGAGGGTGCATTTAAGACATGTACATTTACTACATCTGTTAAGAAAGAGTGGTAATCGGGGAGAAATAGATGATTGTAGGAAACTAATATGAATGAAATGGAAAGCGAACGGGGTTCAAAGGTATCAATCGTATTAGAGCAGGTCAGTCATTGTCTCGGGACCCATAAAATTCGTTGACCTACGGAATCTAACTTGCAAGTCACGACAATTCTTCAAAGATAAATCTCATTAGAAGCAACCGAAAAACTGAGACAGATACCTAACAATAATAATAATAATAATAATAATGAGACATCTAGAACTCGAATGATCAGTGACGTCCCATGACATTGGTCTTCCTCCATGCTGACGTCGGCGAACGGTCCGATCTGGTGTTAACCCTACCTGCTTTCAACTGATACTCCTACATTGACATCAGTAGCGTCCGGGCACGTTACAACAACCAAAAGTTGACAATATTTGATCTAAAAGATGAGGAAGATCCAACAGATTAAATATTATTCATTTCGATCAGCCTAGGTTTCCGTGTCTAGTGCATGAAGCCTTTTTGAGTCACTGCTAGGCAGTATATAGAAACTAAGACTTTTTGTTTGATGTGAAAAAAAAATTATGTGCAACATATGGATAACCTCAACAGTACAGATTAAACTATTTCATCAAAGTTTTCTGTCAACAGCGTACAGCGAAGAAAAAAGGATCATCTAAAATTTCCCAAGTACTGGAAAATCAAAAAAATATCCATACAGAAATATCTTTATGAGAAGATTCACACAAATTTTCCCAGCAGCAAGTTAAAGAAAAGAAAATACTGGCCAACTTATGCCGTAATTTTGAGTTCAACAGATCAATACCTCAGTATCAGAGTAAAATATCATCCGAGGTTTAATACTGCAGGTAGTTCATGAAGATTCAAAAACATGAAACCACAATCACAAGAGGTCCGTATGAAGGTTAAAATTCAAGATCAAAGGCAGTTGTCTGGTACAATAATGACGGGTTAGATAATATTAGCTCAGTGATACTAATCTGTGCTGTAGACGCGAAGAGTTGAAGGTAAATTAGTGGTGAAGACCTATTTGAAATTCGAAAGTACTTTACTGTAAAGTCGGAATGGACAACTAGTTATCAACCAACGAGTCTTTTTGTCATATAATGAGCATTCTACCGTATGTAATAGAAACTAGCGCCCCCCCATAGTGGTCTGCTCCAAAATGTCCCTCCGAAGAGCAATCTCGGTTTGGTAACCATACAAACTGAAACTAAACAGGGGATGCAGCTTAGACAAATGTATCTCCTCACTTTAGGTGAAGAAAACTTTGTGCGATCACCCCACAATTGTTCATAACTCCCGGTAAAACATAAGCACAGTCCCATCTAAAAATTCACAATGCTGTGTCAACCACTCTCTAAAAGAGACGTTAATCTCCTGATGATGAGAAATTTGCTGGGTAATAGTGTTAAAAAACTCAGATCAGACAGTGGTTTCAGTGACCTGAAAAGAAACAATGTTGAGGATTCTTCTTCCTCCTTTTTACAGCCATTGAAGTATATCTTGGACGTCTACGAAGCATGTTTGCCTTTGTATAAATCACATAGTGTGTATGTTGTACTCTAGTGAGCGCGCTCGATTCATGCTGATTTTCCGATAATGGCACTGTCTGTGGTAAAGGGGAAACTAGAAAGAGTGCTTGATAAAAATCCACAAGACCTCATTCGCGGGATTCGAAAACATGGTGTCGATGAGGTAGTTCTGTTAAATTCTTGGATGTAACTCAACCAGGCTAAATACATAGGTCAATGTCTAGATGAAATTAAAAATGAATTGAAAGACAGTTCATTTTCCGTCAAAGCCAACGCTATTAGCAAATTAATATACGTATGTTGTTTGAGATCTCATGTAAAATCTTAGATTCAAATGCTTGGTTATGATATTAGCTGGGCTGTGTTCAATATTGTTGAGGTTATGAGTTCTCAGAAGTTCACCTTCAAACGTATAGGATATTTAGCAGCTTCTCAAAGCCTTCATGCTGGTACAGATGTCCTCATGCTTGCTACGAACCTTATCCGCAAGGTAACAATGATATAAATAATGAAATAAAATAGGATTTAATGAGTTGCAATTTGTATGATGCTGGAATCGCCTTATCGGGTGTTGCATGTTTCATTAACCCAGATCTTGCTACGGATTTATACTCTGATATTTTAGGTCTGGTAAGTTCCGTTTCACGCATAGTTTAGTCTCAAGTAACAATTACTACTGTTATATCCATAATTTCCCTTATCGTTGGCTCAGACTTATTTTCATGCTACTAAAGAATATGGTACTAAGTCATATAAATATTATATAATCGTTTGCACCTTGTGTCATTAGATAAAACCATGTTTTCTTACCTAAGTTAATATGATGAACTAACACTATTTTTTTCGAAAAATAGTCATCATTTCTCTCGTCCCAGTATTCTTACGTGTACACTTGGTTATCAGTGCCCCAGGCTCCATTGGTAAGGTTAATCTCCACAGACAGGCTTGAGAGTTTGTCATCATGCTAACTTAACTGGTCAGTTTCTATCCTGTACATTCTCACTTCTTGCGGTTCTTTTGAAAAATATGACGAACAATCCTCAATTAACCTTCAAGCTATTTATATTATTCCTAAATCATTAATTTTTGAGTAAACAAGAGATAGCTTACACCAGTATCAACTGCTACGTCAACAAATGCTTTTGTTCATGATACGCCGTATCTCAAAAAGTGACTTGATGGCTTTCTTCTTCTCAGTCAAATCATTGTACGTCGAATAAACTCCTCACTCAAGATCGTGTCAAGGTGTTTACCTACCAAAATTATAAATCATAAGCATTGTGTATGCAAAGTTAAACTACACTATATGACTTGGGGGGGCAGAGTATATCTGAACTTGCAACTAATCTATAAAAATATCTGTATTCAGTTTAATGACTAGAATGTACACAACCGTAACCAACCCGAAAACACGGTCTTCGTAGTGTCAGTTTCTAATCACAATATCAATACTATTACGTGCCTAACTATTCAAATTAGCTACTTGTTAGTCGGTTGTAATTAATATAGATACTTGCACAATTGTGTCTTGTCCCAGGTTTCTATAACAAATTCGTATGATGTAATTAAATCAGTAAGAATTCGAATAATGTAGTGTCAATGATAATGAGGAGTATAAAACATTGTAAATACATTTTGAAGAGACAGGATGAAGGAGTACGTATGAAGAAATCCATGATCTTAAGGTTTAGAAGAAGATCAAGAGTTAATGCACCTGTGTCACTGTGATCGATTTTGAACTATGTCACTCCAACAGCTGGTCGTGGTTATTTCATTAACTAAAGGTTTGATTACAACCCATAGTTTTCAAACTATTGCATGGATAATAAACAGACTAAGTTCCAAACAGAAGTCTTGTTTCTGAGATATTACACCTTAATCTTAACTTATGAAATACTCTGAATACTATGTTCTAATTCAGAGAGATTTGATAATCAAAGGTCTTATCGCTTCCAAAATTCCATACTGTTCCCTACTTATGCAGATCACATATTCGGAAGGCATGTGATGAGTTTAAACAGATTGTCTAGTGTGTTCATTTAGTTTAGCAAATCAAAAATGTAATAATTATTTTCAAATTAATCTTACAAGGTAATCTTCATTTGTTATTATTGTCTAACCTAACCACCGACTGCCTCGTCGAGCTCTGTTTCGCGATGTAGGAGTAGGTTGGAAGAAAGCTAGGGGCGGCCAGACCAAAACATGGCAGAAATCCATGAAGTCATTGACTAGTGGACTGAGCCATGTCGGTAATTGTCGACTACCTGGTTGGGGTCCGCGAGATGATAATAATCGATGGTTAGAGACCTTAAATGACATGACTCAAAATCGTTCGCAATGGCGCCGGTGCATTTATCCTCTGTGTTCTCTCTAATCCTAATCTTCTGGATTCTTCAACACCCCTAGTTTCGACTCTAAACTTTTCTCACTGAATCATACTTCTTGAATAGTATCTTCTAACCCTAACCTCTCCGATTACTTCTAATTCCCTTACTACCTCTACTACTATTGGATTTGAATTGACAATTACTTCTCTGTATGGCAACATGAACTGATGTACTTACGTACCGAGTTCTACGTTGAAGCTGACTGACTGTTATTATTGTCTTAGCGCAAAAAGTAAATAACAATCCACTTTTGATTAGCTGAATTATTGCCTAGCTTTTACTTTAAGTTGAATTCTTTCATATCCTATCCAATATTCCCTTAATTGTTTTTTGTACTTTTTCTTTGCAACTAAGATAAATTCTCCAAAACCATATTTACGAAAGAAAGCTGTGTTGTTATTATACAAAGTTTTCCTTAATTATCCTGAAGCGCTTCGTATTTGTTTCTCACAATTGAAAGATAAGTTGGATGACCCAGATCCAGGTAGGTTTTAGTTGTTTTAAAGCTGTGCATACATTTGTAAATCTATCTTTGGTATGTTAATTAAATTTCATCATTTTAGTAAAAATATGTAACAAGGTAGTGTTAATTTAAACAAAATAACTACGTATCAATTCTACTTCAAATAACAATATAATAATAGTAACTAACATTATAAAATATTTAAAGTCAACTTAATTTTGTATATGGTCTTATTTTGAATACTAGATGTTGAAAATTATTAATTAAAGTCGAGTGAATAATGTATGTAGTAAATACTACATTTTCGGTGTTGCTGATCATTGCCAAACTGATAACTGTACATTTTTTACATAGGAAATTCCAGGCGAATAAACATGAGTTTGTAAACATGTATTTACTTCTTCATTTTCTATAAAAACATGATTAGTTTCAAAAGTTGAATTTTTATTGATTCCCGTTGCACGTAGCTTCGCTTTTGAAACGTTACTGAGTTCGAGTACCGCTGTGGTCAGTGGCTAAAATAAGTTTTTACTTGTGCTTATGCTTTCAAGTTGTGTTTCTAATAATGCTTGTATATAAGATAAATTTATAGCATTATGAAACCTTTTAGATCCCTTGTCTGTGATTATATCTGTCAGAATGCATGTATTTCATGTACGTAAATGTCCTCATATTAATTAATACGACTTCCTTCTCCAAGAGCAGCATTTTATTGCTCTTCTCTGGCAAACAGTTCTGTAACGGGGTTTTTGCTAATGATGTTGAATTGCTCACCATACACCTTGAATACCCCGGTACGGCCGAGAGTGGGGAATGTTCCCCCTCCCTCTCCAGATGCCACACGTATATAGCAGCTGCCACGGAAGTCCTTCTCCCTGCCTTCTCATTGCCAAGCATGTTGTTTAAAAAATTGAGAGGACGAAAACCAAGCGCCCGTTGCTTCAACCAGTTTAGTGGGCGCGAAGCGTCTACCTAGGGGAGTTGGAAAACCCTGATTCCAAAACAATGGTGCGCATCGGCTTCAGGATCCTGAAGGAATGAATAGCGTTCGAACTTACTGTCACCGGCTACTATGGGACTGCATCTGCTTACTTTGCTCCACTGTCTTGTAGATTAGACCTCTAAGTCAAAGGCTCCGGGTCTTGCCTCTTAATAAACCCATCTTCGATTTGTTTACCTAAGCAATATCCTATCCCACTCACAAATCCAATAATTTGTATGGCGCATAAATATTTAGGTGCTTAATTGTATCAGTGTTAATGTGTTCAAATAAAACTGAAATAAACCCTACTCTCAACCATCCGTTATGTAGGTCTGAGACTAGCAGTATCTTACCATTAGTTTTAGTCGTGGTTACAAACACTAATACACCGTAACAGTCGTTTATAATTTGATCTAATCCGATTCAGTAACTCAAGTGTAGATTCGTTCTCTGAAAGCTTTCAATCACATTTTTTTTTGGTTATGAAATCTTATCATACCCCTCTTTTAGTTACTCGAGCTGAGTTAAATGGAGCAAGATTTTTAACCTAAGACCAAATAATACAAAATTACTATTATTTTATTTTACTATGCTTTGTTTGTTTTAGGTGTACAATCCGCAGCTGTTAATGTTATATGTGAACTAGCGCGTAAAAATCCTAAGAATTATCTATCACTTTCACCTATATTTTTTAAACTTATGACTACATCATCAAACAATTGGGTTCTTATTAAAATTATTAAATTGGTAAGCAGATTTATTATTTTAATTCTTCTAAATCTATATTTATCAACTGATGAAAAGTCTTTTTCCATCTGATGGTAATACTCTAATCTCAAATGATTATTCATGTGCATATTTTTGTAATTGAGAAGAAAATCAACAAATCATTCAGTGCCCATATATGTGTAACTGAATCTGTGGATCATAAGAATTTAAATTCTTTAGAGTATTACTCCCAAATTATAGACCTAGGCTTTTTCTTATAGATTCTTCGGTAAAATAGTTTCTAGGTTAGCTATCTCGCATTCCCTGCTGTACACAAAAGTTTACTAATTAATACTTTTATGTTCCAATTAGCAGCATATCACGTTCACAGTTCCAGTTACTGCTTAAATCTCCTAAAATTTTAATAAAGCAGGGAAAATTAACCATTGTCAAGCGTTCAATCGCACTGCTGAAAATGTGTCATCGTTTTAGTCTATGCTTTTGTGGGATGTTCTCAGAGATGCGAACAAATTCCCACCCTATGTTAACTCCGATTGTATCTGCCAATTTATATGTACCTACAAGAGCACCTACATCAGAAGAATAGAAAGGAGGGCTAGTATCACCCATAATCTCTAGTGGTTACAATATTCCTCTGGACCCAAACCAGAGGGTCAGTACCTATTTATATGATCCAGTATAACAGTCAGTGTCTCCATGGTTGCTACCATGTCCTAAACATAGAGCACTGGATACCTATTTCGTCTTTGCTTAGATTGTTCATAAATGCTCACTCCATACGGTCAGAGAAGTATTTTCAGAATACCGATGTCAATCCATGACTAAAAATATAGTTTCAAATAAATCGATCCCTACATCTCTTTTGTCCTCTCAGTAGTGACCATCTTCCAGATGGATTTCCATGTCCGTGATTAATGGAGTCCTGTCTGGGGCGAGATAAATATTGCCTTTTATATTTAATAATTATCGTACAGTATCACAAATCCGATGCTAAAATTGTCAATTTGATCATGTTTCAACTTTCTGAAAGCATTTTATCACGAGACATGAAAGGTTTCAAAACTAACCTTGTGTGCTCATAAATAAACAGTGTTCACTGGTTTTAATCGGTTCTCAAGCTACTCTTTTTTTTGACTAAACGCTCAAATATTCTATCACATAATTGAATCGTGGTTGATGTATTAGCAACAAGGAATACTTTGCATTCTTCTACAACAAATGATACACCTCTGCTTCATACTTTCGAGAATTACTCATACAGACATGGAGTTTTAGGAAATTTACAGTAATATATTTCACTCGATCCCATTACACACCTACGCCTGTTTCGCTTCATGGAGCCATAGGCCACCGACCAGCAATCTGCAAACTACTTTGTCCTGAATCCTCCTTTCCAATTGTTACCAAGTGCTTCCCATTTTCCGTACCTGTCTCAAACCCCCGATTCATTGTGTTGTTTATGCTTTAGCTCTTACCTTTACTCTGAAGATTCCAAACTAGGGCTTGCCCTGTGACTCAGTTTAATGATTTCCGTAATGTATGTCCTATCGATCTGTAGCGTCTTTTCCTAATTCTTTTTTTCTAGTAGGTTGTTGCTGATGTTGTCTGGTCAACGGGTATGGAGTATGTTGTGTAGACAATGGCTTGTAATTACGTGTGACTTGCTGATGATGGTTGAAGTAGTTCTGTTAGTTTCGGCTCTATACAGTGGGACTGTTTTAAGATGTGCATTGAAAATCCTGACTTTGGTGTTGGTTGACAGTTGTTTTGATTCTCAGATGTTCTTCAGTTGTAGAAATGCTCCCCTTGTTTTTCCAGTCCATGCCTTCGCATCTGCATCAGATCCCGCTTGCCTGCCAATGATGCTGCCCAAATACGTAGACGTCTCAGCCTCTTCCAGATCTTCCCCATCAAATGTGACTTTATCGATGCTCTCTGTGTTATATTTTAGAATTCCATGTTTTCCCTCGCGAACGTTGAGGTTTATTTCTGCAGAGGCTACTGTCATACTGCCCATCTTTATCTGCATTTGTTGTTGTGTGTAGGATGAAAGAACTAGGTGATCTGCGAAATACATCGCCGGGTTGTCCATTGTATTCCTTGCTTTTCCCGAGATGTGGAGGTTTAAATAATCCACCTGACCACCTGAAAGAAAACAAGTTGTGAGAGTAAATAGTCTTGTCAGACACCAACCTTCACTTGATAAGCATCTGTGAGGTGCCTTCTGTACACGACTTCGCAGTGCAATCTGTAGTGTTGCGATTTGGTCCGTACACGATTTAGATGTAATAGATCTGGTTCTCTGTAGCGGGTCCAATGATACCAGCATAGCTTTGTTGTTCTCCATGTTAGTTTCCTCTTCACTGAGTAGATCGTAAATGGCTTGAAACGTTTTGCTGAGCTATCTTAAATTCGTTGAGTTCCCTTAGTTGTCCAGTGTTTCTCTAGTTTTAGTTTCCTCGTGGCCTCCACCAGTTGGTGATCTGAATCTGTTTCAGCTCCTCTGTTTGTTCACACGTCTTCGATGGACCTTCTGAATGTGTTATTAATGGAGATGTAATCGATCTGATTCGTTGTAGCGTGCTCCGGTGAAACCCATGTGGCTTTGTATGTGCATTTGTGGTGGGAAACTGTGTCACTGATAACCACTGTGTTGAAGGCACACCGATTTACAAATCTCTCATCAATTCTACCCGTCCATGTCATCCCATCACATCTTCATATTCACTGTTGTCTATTCCGACTTCGGTGTTTAGGTCTCCCATCAAAACGGTCTGATCCTCCTGCGTTTTTCTTTTTTATCGATTTCAGCTTCTCACAGAATCGATCATCGCCTTTATCGTTTTAGTTGTTTTCCGCATAGCACTAGATCACATCGGTCATAACCCACTGTTTCTTTGTGTTGAAGGATGATTTTATGATCCTGGGTGCATGGGTCCGTCTGTGTAGGTGCTTTTCGTGTTCCTTGCAACAGAATCAGTACAACTCGTGTGTGCGAGGCACTTTCTCCTTGATGGTTGGAGTACAACAGCATCTCTGTGGAAGCTAATCTTTTCTGTCCTGCTTGTGTCCAATAGAATCCACTTATTGCAAGAACCAACAGGTCGTATCTTTTCATTTCCGCAGCTACTTAAATGATATTCTCGGTCCCCCAAGGGCGCAAACATTCAATGTACCTATGTTAATTGTTGGTCCGGTTGTGAGAAGTCACATCGACCCCATGACATCCAAAGAAGCTGGATTTTCAGCATGAGGTGACATAACTCTTCCAAATGAAGACCTTTCAATTTCCAGGACAGAGTTTAGTTTGGCTTAAGTGATTTTTTGTAATTAGCGTTATTTAGCCAGACCGTTTTCTACGGCGTGAGTCTGGTTTGTTCTATCTAACAGAATAGGTTGGAGAATGTTGTTCGACCGCTTATGCTTCATTGAGGGTAACTGGCCTGAGTAAAAAAAGTATTATCTACGGGATGGTATTGCTGGTCCGTGTTTGTGGTATTCAGTCACTTTAGAAGGGCTCTAGACGTAGTCATTCGATCCTGCAATGTATTTATGTTTCAGCTCAATCGTGTATATGGAAAAAGATTTCATGTATATTATTTAAAGGTGTTTTTTCTAAAATAATAAACATGTTTTCGATATTTTTTATTAGTTTGGCGCATTGACACCTTTAGAACCGAGACTAGGCAAAAAGTTAATCGGACCGTTGACCAATTTAATTCATAGGTAAGTAGATATTTTGATATATCCTAAATAATAATAGGGATGTTTTTTTTTCTAATTTTTCCTCAGAATTTCTTTGTTATTATTTAATGATGTACGCTAGTTTCATTTCTAACCTTAACATAATAATTTCGAAAACTTAGAGCATAAAATTGAACAATTACCGTGGTCTGTTTTTAGAAATAATGTATTTTTTTCCAAGTCATATATGGGTTTTAGAAATTCATTTCGTTCTAATAAATTGAGAGGATCGATGGTGCAATGGTTAATTTCATTCAACTTCGAACCTCTGATTCACAAATCCGAATAACGCCCAGTTGATTTCAGTTTTAATTGTAAACTAGTACCACTATTCCTTTTACAACCTAATTATACGAACTTCCACATAGTAACAGAGATTTTTTTAATTAACTGAAAAATGTTTAGATAACATGCAGTGGAGTAATGTGAATTCATTACTTTGAGTCTGTAATTTACATCGTCTCAATGTGAAATTGTGTGCGGTTTTCCCGCTCGAAATGCAAAATGTTGTATCAGAATTGACTTACGACTTCACCTGAACTAGTGATAGGGAGTGAAGTAGTCGAATGTGTAGACCGCTTCATTTATCTCGGGAGTCTCATCAGTGCTGATGGCCTGGTGATTGGCAACACCTCAGCACGGATACAGAAAGCTCGATTAGCTTTTGCCAACCTGCGTCACCTATGGCGCAGGCGAGATATCCGCTTGCTAGCCAAAGGACGAGTGTACCGTGCAGCAGTTCGCTCCGTCTTACTATATGGCTGTGAAACATGGCCAGTGAGAGTAGAGGACATTCGTAGGTTACTAGTCTTCGATCATAGGTGTATCCGAAGCATTGCTCGTGTATCCTGAAACAACTGTATAAGCAATGCTGTCGTTAGGAAACGGGTACTAGTTAGGGATGGCAGGTCAATAGATGAAGTAATGAAACTTCATCAGTTGAGGTGGTTGGGACATATGTTGCGTATGTCTAACTACCGATTGCCTCGACGAGCCATGTTTTGTGGTGTAGGAATTGGTTGGAAGAAAGCTAGGGGCGATCAAACCAAAACATGGCAGAAATCCATGAAGTCACTGACATGTGGACTGAGTCATGTTTGTAGATGTAGGCTATCTGGTTGGGGTCCGCGAGACGAAAGTCACTGATGTTTGGAGACCTTGAACGACATGGCTCAGAATCGTTTGCAATGGCGCAGGTACATCCACTCTTTGTGTTCTCTCTAACTCTAACCTTTTGAATTCCTCATCATCAATATCTTTCTGCTTCTGAATTTATCTCACTGAATTATGCTTCTCGAATCATATCTTCTCTTCCTAATCTTCTCCATTACTGTTAATACTTCTACTATCGCTATCACTCTTGGATTCGAACTGACAGTTACGTCTCTATGCTGATGTGGTATGGCAACCTGAACTGATGTACTTACGTACGAAGTTCTGCGTTGTATCTGTCTGTCTGTCTGCTGGAAACATGGTACATTTTTCATAAGTTAAAGTTTAGATCATCATAGATGCTGTAAGTAATTTTGACTGTTTGGTGATGTCATCTTACAAGACTGCTAGTATCATGTAAACTCAAATGCTCGATGCGATTAATCCTACTCTCTGTACATGAAACACAACTGCAACGATATTAACATAATTGTCCATGTAGTTATTGCCGCCGGAATACTGAAAAAGATGTATGAACAATACTGATTTTTAATGACAGTTTGTAAACTGATCAACTATTCATCGTGATACGATCTCTAAAGACTGGGTTTAACAGTCAGGTTTTAATTCAATAGAAAATGAGTGACCGACAACCTAATTTCCTCCATTCCCCTATGACATTTTATCATGCATGTTTTATGTTTAATACTCGGTATATCAGGATGTTACTACCTATTCATCTTTCTGGTTGTCTTGTCTTCGAGATCAAACCACTTAGTTTATTCTTATTTATTTGGTTTACTCAAATACATCAGTATTGGTACTGGGGAATATTTATGCGCCACACAAATTATTGGATTTGTCGGTGGGATAGAATACTGCCCGGGCAAACAAGTTGAAGATGGTTTTATTACGAGGCCATACTCCGAGCCTTTGACGTGGAGGTCTGATCCACAAGACAGTGGCTCAACGTATGCATATGCTATCCCATGGTATCCGGTAACCTGCAGTAGGTTGAATACAATTCGTTCTATCAGGATCCTGGTGCCGATGTGTGCGAATGGTTTGGAATCAGGGTTTTCCAACTCCCCTAGGTAGATGCTTCGAGCCCACTTAACTGGTTGAAGCACCAGGCGCTTACTTTTCGTCCTCTCAATTTTGTAAACAACACGCTTGGCACGAGAAAGCAGAGGTTGGACTTCCGTGGCAGTGGCCTTATGAGAGCATCTAAAAGAGAGGGCGAATTCTTCCCAGAACATTTGGAGGCTAAAACACTCAGGTGCTTGCTTTAATAATTAAGTGCCATGAGCAGCAGCCAGCTACACTGTCTCACTTGCATGTCATCTATCGATTGGCATTCCACTTATTTGACCTAAAAAGTCGAAAATACGTCAATGTAAACTTCCTTCATAAACCTGCAGTGAATTAGGGGATGTGTATTTCCTATTTTAAGCTCTCCAGAAATCCTAAAGGATGATTATTAACCTTTCGTAACATAAAACCAAATCATTCGCTCTCTGTATGTCCCTTTAAATCTTGAGTAGTACTGTACTTACCTGCTCCATATCTCATATTGTCGTTGCCTATTCTCATCTTTCTCTCAGTTACCTTTTCTATTTCTGCGATGTACAGTCAATAAACCTAGTCTATATTTCTTCTAGGCAGTATATCATGTCTTTGTTGGTCTGACTTCAATATCGGTATTAGATTACCAATCATTGCCATGCTAGTGTAAATTTAGTTACGTAAACTCTCTTCGATATTTATCTTTTAAGATAAACTAAACTGCATTACTCCTCTCCACTTTAACAATCACAATGAATTATCTGTTGATTGTTTCATTTTACATTGTTTCTGATTGTTTAATCAGTTTATAGTGCCTCCACATATATTCCAGTTCGTTTACATCCGACTTGGTTAAGCCCTTTCGATTAATTTATTTAACCAAGCCATTTGTATTGCAACAATTTGTATGTACTGTTCGTTCTTATTGTTGTCTGGTTTGTATGATCTCATGTGACTTGTTCCACTTGTCATTTGACCTTGCAACTATTCGTCACTTTTATCATGTGTGTGCATACCTACTTCGCTTGTCGCATGTTTATCTTTTATTTGTCTGACTTTATATTCTTAGTCATGCTCTATTTCTTCGAGTTGTCTCATTTGCCTTCTCCACATCGCTCCGTCCGTTCATTTGTCTACTCACTCGCTTGCCTGCTTTCCGGCGCTGGCATGACGGTTTTATCTTGTAGCACTTGTTCATACGATTCGCTTCAGTCGCTCATTCGCTCGCCAGTGTACACACTACAAATGGTGAGCCCGACATCGAAATGGACTCACTACAAGTTAATTACAAAGCTAACATGATATTGAATATGATATTATAGTCTGACAATTTGTGTTTGTCAAAATTACTTTCTTTTTACAGTACTTCAGCAATGTCATTGTTATATGAATGTATAAATACAGTTGTCGCTGGTAAGTGTATTGATTAATGCATATAATTGAATAATTATTGGATTATTAATGTTTTCTTTTCCGTATTATGCCATTAAATTATCATATTTTTGTCACAAACTTTTCTGTAACCCGGCGACGTTAGCGCTAATGAATTTAGCACTTTGTTTTTATTGTTACCTGCAATCTCATATTCATTATTGTTCATATGAGAATGAACATGATACTAACCACTTGAGTTATAGATCTTTTCTATTATTATACGAATCTTCACTTGGTTAACGTGTTATTATCAACTTATCTAGCTTAAAGAGGTTTTATATAATATAAATAAGTTAATAATGACGTTGGATTATGGTTACTTTGTGTCAAAATCTGATTGAAGTCGAAATTATACTACTGGACATCAATCTAGTGGTTCTAAGGATCGAGCATTCGCCTCAGGACTTGAGTACTGACCCGAACCAGGTAGATTGGTGTGAACTAGATGGCTATAGTCTGAGCAATTATCATAACGATAATTAGAGACTTTGGATGACATTTACTGTTTGCCTCCCCCTTGCTTCAAAAATGCTTTTCATACTACTGATCCATATTTCCTGAGGTAATATCTACTCCCGACTCTTTTACTACTGTCTCTACAACTCCGGAATTTGCTTTAGTGATTTCACCTCGCTGCGCTCAGTCAGTTACAACATAGAACTTCGTACATCCGTACATCAGTTCAGGTTGCCATACCACATTAGCACAGGGACGCAATTGTCAACTGAAATCCCATAGTAATAGTAGTAGAAGTATTAGCGGCAATGGAGAAGATTAGGGTTCGAAGATATTATTCAAGAAGTATAATTCAGTGAAATAAATTTAAAAAGAAAGGAATTCAGAAGATTAGAATTTGGGAGAACACAACGAATAAATGCACCTGTGCTAATGGGTTGTGACAACTCGAAACAATGTACGTATGTGGCAGCTTTTACATTGCGTATGACGACTGACTGTGAACCCTGCATGCCGTAGATTTGATCTCTAGTGAAGTCTTAGATGCGCACTGCTTGCAAGTTCCATACTAGGATAAAACTTATATCGAATGATCCACTACTTTCAATAATCCCTCAATTAAAGCCAGTCTTTGACGAATATAACTTATAAATGAATTATCTATACATTTAATGCGCCGATTTTTTTCTTCGCTTTCAAATTCTAGTATTAATATCAATATCTTCTGGAATTCCTAGTCATCAAGCTTCTATACAAGTAAGTAAGACCTTTTCAACATATTCTCATAAAAGTATTACAAGCCAATTAAACAAATCAATGAAGTTCATTGTTTAGGATTTTGTTTAATTTTTACATGGAAACTTTTTAGTTTTATTTCAAAATGTCACAAAATTTGTTTATTTCCAATTTTAACTTTTATAGTTATGCATTCAAAAATTACGCATCCTAATAGAAGATTCAGATCAAAATTGTAAGTTTAAAGAAAATAGTTTTACAAAATGAATTTCCAATGTATTATGATTGGTTTGATAGAGTGAATGATTTAAACCATTGCGTTATACTACAGTTAGTATCTTTATTATTATGTACGTAGAAGCCAAGATCAAATGGAATATTGATACATTTGGAAAAACACAGAATGTTTACGATATGCATACATAGTGTTCAAACATCTATCTAAGTCTACCGAATGCGCCGTCCTGTCGACTTTTTAAAACGTATATCTTCGGTTGTTGACTTCGAAAACTCTCAAGCGAGGCTCTATTGCATACTACTGAAAACCAAGTTCGGCAGCTAGCATCCACCGCATAAGTACACATGTATTCACAAAAATTTCTTTCAGGAATTTCATTGTTTAACTAAATTCTGAGACCGAATCTTAGATTAGGATCCCTGGTTTTTTCCTACACAGCTTGTAGGTTCTCAGATGATTTTAAACTCTTCCCCGGTCAAGGGTCACAGGCTCTTTGGATTAGCACCATATATCAATCACTATGATTATCACCCAAGTTCTTACGTGAGCCCAAACACTCTCTACCTGGATATGGGATGTTAACTGGTGTGGGAACAGGTTGAAAGGAAACTGTGATCGACCAACCGAAGGCGTACCATAAGGACAGGCACAGCAATACATATGAATCTCAAGAAAGACCGAGGAGATTAGGTGGATCTGTTTCACATGAGGAAATGACACTTCATCTAATGTCTGCTGGTAAGAAAATCAGAAGTAGCATTGCGCGTAGTAGCCCGATAAAGAATCTTAATCCCTTCGTAATTTGTCCTACATATGTAATTCTAGAACAATAGACGCAATACTGGCGAGCACAGAGTCTGTGGTAAAGCTAAAGCAAGAATAAGATCAACTTGGTTTTAAACTTTATCTGTTTCTAAATATAAAAAAACGATTAAATTAGTACAATTAATAAGGAAATGACAGCTATAAGGGGAAACGAGTAAGCATACCGACCAGTATAGCGTGTCTTTGGAAAATGAATAAAAGCATGAGTCACATCAATATAATAAGATAATAACGTCCTTCAATCAATGGGTCATTTACAACAAAGAAGGTTTACAGACAGGTCAGACTAGATAGCGTGGTGGGCGCTTAAACCACAATCTGATTGGTTAGTTATGGCATAACTACAATTAGTTATGGAAATAACTAACACTCCCCTCGAAGCGGTCATCACGTCCAGACCTCGTCGTTACCGTGTGGTGCTGTGGTGCGAACTACTTATAAGTAGTATATAGCGTGAGTGTCAACGTAAAGTCTGGTAGCATAATATGGGGGGAAGATCAAGAAAGGAAGAGTCAGAAAACAATGGAATTTGTATGAAACGCATGAAGAGTGACAATGGATTGATGTTTCGCAACAGGAACAGTCCAGTTCCATAGGATGAACTGATCTTTTGCAAATGAACGATTTACGATATGGTTTTCCGATTTTACTGAGTAACTCTGTAATTTTCGTTAAATACAATTCGGTTGCCTCCACCTGTGTTCTCATTCACTACAACCGTAGCGTTCAAGTAGTCGGCTTCTTCCAGTAAGCATAGGCTCCGTATATCCCGGGTGATTTCTTCGGTTGCTGTCTTTAATCACACTGTTCTGACTTGTCCATCCGGACCATAATTGACCTCTCTAACTATAGCTTTCACCCACAGATTTCTCGGTGAGCCAATATTGTTTTCTAACACTAAGTCTCCCGGTTGTAAATTCCTTCCCATATCCAACCACTTGGATCTCGCCTGAAGGTTTGATAGGTACTCCCGTAACCATCTATTCCAGAATAGGTTGGCTAGTTGTTGCTTTTCCTTCCATTCCCTGTTATATAAGCATGCTTTACTCATCTGCGCTTCGTCGAATGATACACTTCTGTAAACTGACAATAACTTATTCGGCGTGAGCACATCTAGATTATCACATTCATTAACTAGCTTCACCAGTGGTCGATTGTTCAGTATTCTCTCAGCTTCTATTAGAAAGGTTTCCAAAGACTCGTCTGTCGATACCTTCTGAAACAGCAGTGATCGTAGAATCCTTCTTATTGACCTTATAATACGCCCCCATATACCACCTCGATGACTAGCTCTCAGAGGATTAAAGTGCCATTCGCAACCTCTTTCCAAAAGGATATTTGTTATCTTATTCTGGTCCAAGCTACACACGATCTGTTTGAGACTAGCATCGGCTCCTCTGAAGTTCGAACCGTTGTCGCTAAATACATGCTTTGGGTGACCCCGTCTAGCAACGAATCTGGAGAGAACGCATAGAAATGAGTCAGTATCTAAGGCATGGGCCATTTCGATGTGGACTACTCTAATAGACAGGCAAGTGAACAAACAGCCGTATTGTTTTTCAACGACTCGCCTCCTCTTAACGTAGAATGGTGGTACGTAAGATTCCAGGAGACATTCGGGTAGTGGAGACATAATCTGCGTGCACGGTGTACTGTTGAGTCTCTTGCATAGGAAGCGCCGTTTCAGGACTCTTCATGAAGTCTATTCAGGGTGTGAGTAATACCAGAATGCGCGTTCTAGAGATGAAAGTGCATTACAATCAAGTCGGTAACAAAATGCTTACTAGGCAGTATAATCGGATATTTACTTTCGAAGGGCAAATACGATAATTGAAGTCGTCCTCTTACTCGAATGACATTATCTATTACGAAGGGATTAAGATTCTTTATCGGGCTGCTTCGCGCAATGCTACTTCTGATTTTCTTACCAGCAGACATTAGATGGAGTGTCATTTCCTCATGTGAAACAGATCCACCTAATCTCCTCGGTCTTTCTTGAGATTCATATGTATTGCTGTGCCCGTCATTATGCTGTATTAGCCTTAGTTTTTCCATCTCTGTAGTGAATGAGATCATTTGAACCAATTTAATCATATCCTTCTTCGCGCTATCGATTTCTTTTATTTTCAATCTACCATGAATTAACGGTCTTCTGTCTAAATTCATTTTCATATTTTTGGCGGACCGTTTACATAGAACGAATATTATCAGTATTCTGAACCAGGTCTTAAAATTACCAAATCGATTCAAAAATTGGTCTAAATAACTCCTCGCTGGTGTCTCTACTAATTTATTTGTAAACAAATGGGCTAAAACGTGATTCTCCTCTTCGGGTTTAATCGGCTAGCCAATTTGGTTCTGCAATTAAAAGTCTGGTCCGTGAAACCACTCATTTAGTTTAATGCTATCATCTAACGACAAACCATGTGAATTATAATCCGCAGGATTCTCTTTACTTATCATATCTCCTTGCTCCTACTGTAGGCAGTTCAACAATCGCTGCTAACCTATTGCTGACTAGTCTGTACAATCTTTTGGTTGTATTTCTTATGTAATGAAATACGATTAATGTATCCGTCCAATAAGTGACAGAGGAGATAGGGGTACGCAGTCGTGGTTCCACGTGTTTTCAAAATCTTATTACATAGTACGATAGCTTTTAATTCCATTCTGGGCATAGTGACAAGTCTTAGAAGAGTAACTGTAGACTTAGCTAGCAGCAATGAGCAATGGATCTAACTAGAAACACTTTCTTAACGAATATACGTAACAGCACCTTACGCAAACTTAGAATCATCGGCAAAACTATGAATTTTAGCAGATGATGGTTCAAACTTTGGTTTCAGACTTCTTGGTATTCTTAAGTAGACCAAATATTTCACTCCGCTTGACAATCCATGGGTAACTCTGCATCCCTGTCTAGTTTTTGCCGCCAAGTATCTTGTAAGATCACTTTAGCTGGTAGTATCATTGGGGCTAGAAACCCAATAGGATCAAAGATAGATTCTACGTACAACAAAATATTTCTTCTGGTTAGGTTTCCATGAAACTAATGAACTTTGAAACATAATTCGTCTGTTCGGGTGTTCCACTCTATCCCCAGCGTTCGTTTACTCATCTCAAAGGACTCACAGACGGTAGTGTTTCCTTCAGTACGATCTTCTTCTGGAATGAACTCCAACACTTCAACACTATTACTAATTCATTTAGTCAAGTTAAATCCTCCCAAACTTAAGTGTCTTTTGAAATACAAATATGTCGGTTTGGCTTCTTCTTTAGTATCCACACTTATCAATAAATCGTCCACATAGAACTGTTCCTCAGCTGCTTGCGTAAGAACCCTGGGAAATTTATCTTGATTATTAGGAATAGTTTTTTGTAAGGCAAACGTGGTGCAACGTAGTGATGAGGTTGCTCCGAACAGATGGATTTTCATTCTATGAACCTCTGGCTCCTAATCTAAGTCCCCACCTGGCCACCTAAAGTACCTAAGAACGTCTCAATCATCCACCGGAACCATTACTTGATGGAACATGGCTTCAATATCTGCCGTAAGACCTATTGGTCGTGGCCGAAACCTGGTGAAAACATCTACTAGGTTATTGACTAAATCAGGCCCAGAATAAAGATTCTTGTTTAAAGACGTCCCAGCATACTGTGTTGCACAATCGAACACTATTCTTAACTTGTCAGGCTTATTGGGATGGAAGACAGGGTGATGGGAAAGATACCAGATTCGTCTATTAGAGTTGTTACCGTTTACATTTTCGGTGTTATCTCGTTCTATATACCGAGTCATAGCGTTCACATAGTCTTGGAACAACTTTGTATCCCGAATAAGTCAACCTTTCAAACAGCTGACTCTATGTTCTGCTAATTTCTTATTATTAGGTAACTTGTGTTCGTGCCTTCAAGGCAGAGTTATTTGATATTGCCCATTTAACTTTTGCACTGAATTTGATATAGCGCTGAATGCTATACGACCTTCCACGGACGTCGATGGAGTACGACTAAATGTGTCTTTGAATTCATTTGAGTACAATGGTTCAAAATTATTTTCTAATTCCTTCTTAGTCGAGAGGTAAGTAGGTACGCGGTTGCTTTCACGGGGTTCCCCGTAAGGGCCGAACAGATTCCAACCCAATATAGTCCTCACAGCAGACGGTTCATTCGTCTTTCCGGCTCTTATCCTTTTCATCTCGTGTACGCACGGTGTGTTACACCCAATCAACAGTTTGACATTCTCATCTTCTACCCACGGAAAATTATGTCTTTGAAATAGGGTCAGGATGCCATTTGATGCGCCGTTGGCACAGTCCTATAAACTGCCGGTAGTTTTCTGACTGTCAACTTTTTATGGACCTTAATGGATGACGAAAAGTCTTTCGAGTGCAATTCTACATCGACCCCTTTGGATACCAACGAAATTTCATTACTAAGAGTCTTTAGTGATATCATTTTTGATTTTCCATCGAGGCCTAACTTATCAGCTAGATTATCAACTATGAGGGAGATATCTGCTTCGCTATCTAGAAAGGCGCATGTCTAAATAATCTCACCATATTATTGTCCATACAGGCACTACTGCACATGCTACTGGCCTCTATACGTACTTAACGCCTTCCTCCGTACAAAACTGAGTTTTAATGTAGACATCGCTATTAGCATCTCTCGGTTCTTCCCGCTTCTCATTTAACAGGGTATAGTGTCTCCAGCCACACCCACCAACAGCTCCGTTAGATACTACTAAAAACGAACTTCGACAGTAGCATCCACCACATTAGTACACATGCATTCACAACAATTTGCTTCAGGAATTTTATTGTTTAACATAATTCTAGCACATACACTCTTAGACTAGCATCCGTGGTTTTTTCAGATGATTTTGAACTGTTTTCTGGTCAAAGGTCACAAGCTCTTCAGATTTGCACCATATATAAATCAGTCTGATTATCATCCAAGTTCTTATGTGTGCCCAAACACTCTCTAACTGAATATGGGATATTAGTCATTCAGTTACAACAGGTTGAGAGGAAACTATGATCGACTAACCGAAGACATAGCATCAACCTTTAAGTTCACTGACTGACTGTTGGAGTAAGTCAAATCGATGGGGATAGACTACTAGGTTGAGCTACATGTGATCTCCCGACTCCTAACCTGAATTCCTCATGACCTTCATCTTTCTCTCCTCAAATTTATTTCATTAGGTTATACTCCTTGAGTAGTATCTCTGAGCCCTAGTATTTCTGATTACTGCTCATACTGTAGTGAATGAGAACACAGGTGGGGCAACCGAGTTGTATTTAACGAAAATTACAGAGTTACTCAGTACAATTGGAAAACCATATCGTAAATCGTTCATTTGCAAAATAACAGTTCATCATATCGAACTAAACTGTTCCTGTTGCAAAACATCAATCCATTGTCACTATTCATGCATTTCATACAAATTCCATTGTTTTCCCACCCTTCCTTTCTTGATCTTCCCTCATCTTCGGCTGCCAGACATAACGTTGACGCTCACGTCATATACTACTTATAAGTAGCTCACACCACTACCTCTACTACTATGGGATATGAATTGACAATTGCATCTCTGTGCTAATATGGTATGGTACTACCCTGAACTGATGTATGTACATACGTACGAAGTCCTACGTTGTGATTGACTGACTGACTGACTGATAGTAACGAACTCTTAGAGATATTATAGATGACATGGCTCAGAATCGATCACCGCTCTAAAATACAATGTAACAATTTGAATTGGATGCTTCACATATTTACCCGGTTCAATGTTACTTTTATGCACTTGATTGATTGACTTCATAACTAGTTTGTTAATTATTTTCATTATTTTAACTTGTTCTGTGTGTATTATTTGTGTATTTTTTGTTGGGTTTGTTTTTTTTTCTTATCATCTCAAGTAAAATATCTTGGATTATTAGCAATGCGTAAAATCCTATTATATCATCCACAAAGTGTACAACCTCATAAAGATTTAATATTAAGTTGTTTAGATGATAAAGATGAATCAATTCGATTACGTGCATTGGATTTATTACATGGTATGGTATCCAAAACTAATCTTATTGATATTGTTAAACATCTGATGATACATATTGGTAATGCTTCATCTGGTTTACATTATCGTAATGAATTATTAAGTAAAGTTGTATATATCTGTTCACAAGATAATTATCGTAATGTTACATCATTTGAATGGTGAGTCATGAAGTTATTCGTTTATTATTATTTCTATCATTACTATTAATAATGTTTACCTAAAGCAGCAACGAAACATCCTTACATCTTTCTGGAGCCCATCCGGGGCTAGTGCCGGTCCCAAGCCGTAAAGGAAGAAGGTTAGGCTTGGGGTTGGCCACACTCCATCCCATAGAAAACTAACTCACTAAAAAAAACGCTAACAAGAAAAAAAATAATTCTAACCATTTAAACTCTCCCCTGGGAATTAGAAGGTTTAGTAGAGTTATGACGTCTTATGATGAAAGCCGAATTCGTTCGGAAGTCACGAGGCCGATGCCCCTTCTGACAACTAGAGCTCTTCCACGGTGTGGGCAGCTAGGAAGTAACATCCTCCCTCATAGCTGTAAAATCACATGAGACAAAATCGGTCACAACCAAATCTCTTCATCTCTTAATAACTTTCTTCTATGAGATTTGAAGTGACAATTGCATCCGTGTTCACTAATTCTGTTTGACAACTTTGAACCAATGTACACATGTACACAAGTTCGAAATCGCGTTCGACCAAATAAAAAACAAGGAGAATTTAATGAAATCATCATTATTTATTACCCGAATTCTTTAATTTCAGTTTGAGTAGATTATGCCAATGATACTAACAAATATATTTTTTCTAGTTTAATAGTTCATCTGATGATTGCTGTAGTTATGCTTCCGAATCGATCATTTATTAAGTGAAATTTGATTTATCTCTCTGGTTTCTCGGTGTATTCTTCTTAATTCAAGATGATACAAACTTTCCGTTTCGGCCGTATAATCTTTGTTGCGAGGACAACGATAAAGATCCTCAATAATCTTACAACTATGAAAAAAAAGTAATAAGTATATTGAATGTTTGAAAGCGTTCTCTAAGTGTTACTGAGTATGACAAAAAGCAGAAACTGTTTGGACACAGTCAGTCAGTTAGTTACAACGTAGAACTTCGTACGTACGTACATTAGTTCAAGTTGCCTTACCAGACTAGCACAGAGATGCGATCGTCAATTCAAATCCCATAGTATTGGAAGTATTAGCAATAATTGGAGAGATTAGGGTTCGAAGATATTATTCGTGAAGTAGGTTCTAGTGAAATAAAATTGAGAAGAGAAACATAAAGGTGATGAGGAATCCAGAAGGTAAGGATTTGACAGAACACAAAGAATGAATGCACCTGCGCCATTGCAAACGCTTTAGAGACATGTCGTTCCAGGTCTCTAACCATTAGTTGCTATCATTGCGCGGACCCCAACCAGGTAGCCTACATCTACCAATATGACTCGACCCACTTTTCAGTGACTTCATGGATTGCTGCCATGTTTTGGTTTGGCCGCCCCTAGATTTCGTCTAACTTACTCCTGCACCGCAATATATCTCTCGACGAGGCAGTCGGCAGTTGGGCATTCGTAACACATGTCCCAACTATCTCAACTGATGAAGTCTTGGTACTTCATTTATTGATCTGCCATCCTTACCTAGTTACGCGCTTTCGAATAACAGCATTGCTCACTCGATAATCCCAAGATAAACGAGCAATGTTTCGGAGACACTTATGATCGAAAACCAGTAACCCATGAATATCATCTACTCTTACTGGCCATGTTTCGCAAAACAACAAAATATCTACGCGACAATACTAAATGTTTATAAGTGGTTAAAATTAAAAAAAAAGCAGTAAAGTGATGAGAGACGGTTGTTTCACTCTATCAACCATTTGTCTGACTTCATCCCGAAATTGAAATATTAACTCTAATAGATTATTGGTTTTACGTGACCTATGAGCACAGTATTCGTGTGTTGTGAAATTATTTTTACATACAGAATAGAATTTTGCATAAAAGAGGATGTAAACCGGTTGATAGGACTTGATTTCTTTGTATTGTGTAAATTAGTTAGAAAAAAAACTTGTTCATCATGTCTGCTCATCACTGGACACTAACGTAAATTATTGGCTGGTATTATAATGAGACAAAAAGGTTCCCATTTGCTTACTCAACCAAAGCACCATACAGTTTACCACGAAGTAATTGGCATGAAATTGTGAAACCTTAGTTTTTTTTCATTCGTGACCACTACAAGTATCAGTCGATGACTCATGGTTTTGTAACATATTTTGACTAGGTATGTAACTGTCCTTGTGGAATTAGCTCGTATTGATGGTATTCGAAATGGTGAATTATTAGCAGCTCAACTTATGGATGTTTCTATACGTGTACCAACTGTTCGAACTTTCTGCGTTGAACAAATGGCTATCTTATTAGATATAAGTCAATCGTTAACAAGTGAAGGTAAACAGAATGCCATTCAAGAAACACTTCGTGCAGCAGCATGGATATGTGGTGAATATGCAAAGTAAGAAATAAAGTTTATTTATGTGTTCTCTATTTTTATAGCCTTAATTGCATTGACTAACTTTAAACAGAACATTTAATATTTTAATACTGTTACTTACTTACGCCTGTTGCCCCCAATTGAGGAGCATAGGCCGCTGACCTGTATTCTCCAACCTACTCTGTCCTGGACTTCCCTTCCCAGTTCTGTCCAATTTTTTGTTCATTCTTCTCATATCTGTCTCCATTTCTGGGCGTAATGTTTTCCTTGGCCTCCCTCTTTTCCTTTAATCTTAAGGGTTCCAAGTGAGGGCTTGTCTTGTGACGCATTTGGATGCTTTCCACAATATGTGTCCTGTCTACTTCCAGCACTTCCTCATGATCTCCGTTGCTGTAGTCTGGTCTGCTCTCTCCCACAGTAGGCTGTTGCTGATGATGTCTGGCCAGTGGATCCGCCTGGAGCCCCTCTGGGGCGACTATTTGTCCCAAGTCCGGAAGAAGGTTGGGTATGCGATTAGAGACCCCATCCCGTCGAAAACTAACTCACTAAAAAACGCTAACCAGAAAAATCAATTCAAACCATTTAATACTGCCAAAAGATAATAAATCTCCAATGAAACTAATTGCATTATCTAACAATGGTTTCTTTGGTTTGTCCATTTGTTACAAATATCGTCTCAACAGCTCCTGCTTCGTGTATTATTTGCTGACACGGACTGAGCGGAGAAAGCTAATAGGTGGTGATAAGTTCATAGCATAGCACCGGGACATGAAATATAATAATAATAATAATAATATTCGGTTTCACAACGTAACTACGAGTTTTGTTCTGCTATTTTGTCATTCCAATCAAATACAACTGATTTGAGACTGAATATATTCATGCAGGTCAGTATTTTATATGAATAATATGAGCATAGAATCACTCTAAATGACGTAATAACATTTTATGCAATTTCTTCAGTAGCGCAGAAGTAAATTTTAACCAATCCGATGCTGCTTACTTTTGTTTTGTTCATCTCCCAATTTGCTAGAAAGAGTACAATAAATAGAACACCTAGTTACTGATAAGTAATATTGTAGTGAAGGAGAACACAGGTGGGGCAACCGAATTGTATTTAACGAAAATTACAGAGTTACTCAGTAAATCGTTAATTTGCAAAATATCAGTCCATCATCTCGAACTGGAGTGTTCCTGTTGCAAAACATCAATCCATTGTCACTATTCATGCGTTTCATACAAATTCCATTGTGTTCTAACTCTTCCTTTCTTGATGTTCCCCCATCTGCTGCCAGACATTACGTTGACGCTCACGTCATATACTACTTATAAGTAGCTCTCACCACAATATGACTGAAAATACTACAAATGTTAGAACCTAAAAACTAACTAAATAGGTTCAAACCCCTCTTCTCAGAATTAATAGAGGTAACAGGTGAATATTTCCTTCTTGATTTATTATCAACTTAGAAGTAGCATATTTTCGCACTAATCATGTGATTATCAACCCAGTAGTTTCATGTAATAAGCTGAACTACAAAATACGACAGTTATCATAATTTAATTCTTTTATCATTCAACAACAATAACGTGTCCTTATCTAATCCAATGTTAATTGATTAGAATTCAGATGAGAATGTCTAATTGTACACGTAGTATGTCTGAGTGCGGATAGTGGCTGTGTTCACATGACTACTATTCATCAGTAGTAGTTTATGGATAGTAGCTATATTATGTACTTCAATATGACTGTCCTAAATAGACATCAAATCACTTTTGAGATAGTGAAGAAGATTTTTAGCTCAGGTGGATGATTGTGGTGGTGGTGTTTGGTTCTCTCTTAGCTGGATGTTTTGGTTTTGGAGCTTTCATTGTTCTTCTGAACAACAACATCATCAGCACAAACTTCAGATAGAAGTGAAGCATTCGAATTTCTCCACGTTTGACCTGTAGCTTGTTCTGCTAACCTCGATTTTGATTGGTTGCTGTTGACCTTAAAGCTGTCGTTGTTTGCAGCTTTGTTTTGATTGCATCGCCCTTTTGATCTGTTTCTTGATCCTATACCACCTATGATTTTCCTGATTGGTTGATAAATTGAGTCAATGTCGATGTGGTTTGTGCTGATGATGTTGTTCAGTAGAAGAACAATGAAAGCTCCACAACCAAAACATCCAGCTCATAGTACCAAACATCACCACCATAAAATCACTTCTTTAGAAATTTTTTTTGTTACCTTGAATAACATCATTCTTCAAACTGTAACCTTTCTATTTCACATTGTTATTTTGTATTACAGTAGTTTAAACAATCCAGAACAAACATTGAATTCAATTGTTTCCATTGCTCTTGAATTACCCGGTTTATCCGGTTCAATTCAATCTGTACTTATATTCAATGCTTTCAAAATATACATTGTTGTTGTTAAAAACACAACGTATAAATCTATTCAAAGTTTATCTTTAACATCTACAAATAATAATAAATACCAAGAAAATGGGGAACAATTAATTGACATCAGTTATAATAATAATACTAACAGTAGTATGGAAACTGTCAATGATCAAGTTACAAGTTTGAATATTTTACAAAATTTAATTATTCATCTCACAGAGTTGACAAATTTTCTTATGGATAAATATACCCAGTATGTACATTCATCGGATTTAGAAGTTCAAGAACGTGTAAGTTATTTATAAGTTGATTTGTATATCTATAAATTCACTGCTAATTTAGGAACCAAAATCGTAACTTGGTATTAAAACCATCATTTCATCTTTCAACTTGATCTAGACATAGTTACAAATCGAAACATGCGAAAAAAAAATTCCAAATGATTACAAATAGATAAATCGTGACCGAGAGAGTAATTTTCTCCTAGCTTAGATCATCAACCGTTCATCATTTCTAAGTGACCAGTAAATATTTTTGTTCAGATAATCGATCTGATAACATTAATTTGAATTTAAGTTTTTTAATCATTATTTAACTGTAAATAGGAAAATCAATTTTTAGAGTCAACTTTAAAATTAATTTAGAGTTAGGCATGTGTGTTACCCGAAGCTCATGTACTACATCAGAGCAATAGCAAAAATAATGAAGAACTACAAATGATTGTTATATATTATTGATTGTGAGGAATACCACAAAGTTAGAATATGGTTTAAGGAGACTAAATAAAAAATCATGAATAAAAGAATACAAGAATTCAAGATTGAGTGTAGCATAAAGTGAGTATGTCTGTACTATTATGACTAATTTCACGTCATATCACCCATAGTCCGGAACTACCGTTCGCATATAGTTTACACCGAACATGGCTTAAACTGAAAGTCAACAACTTCATCGACCGGTACTGCGTTTTCTTTCAACCTACTCTTATTCTATCTAACATCGTTTGTCAAGGCAGGTAGTAGTTACGCCTACGAAACATATATTCGTTAAGTTGAAAGATTTAAGTAAGGTGGTAAAATTGTTTCCTTACTCCTGTTACCCCTTGTAGAGCACAAGCCGCCGACCAACAATTTCTAAACATCTCTGTCCTGGAATCTCCTCTAAAGTTGTTTCCAAGTACTTCTCCTTTTTTGTATATGCTTACAACTCCCGACACATCGTGTACTCGGTTCTCTCCCTTTTAATTTTGATTCGAGGATTCCAAGCTAGGACTTGCCTTGTGATGCGATTTGACGATTTCTGCGACGTGTCCTATGGATCTGCAGCTTCTTTTCCTGATTTTGTCTAGTCAATGAGTATAGAATATGTTGCTTGTAATTACTTCTACTACGTTTACCAGTATGGGTTTTGAATTGACAATTAGATCTGTGTAATAATGTGTCAAACAAGCCTCCATAGTGTCATCCTGTCCACGGTGTTGAATACTTCCTCGTAGCCAAGGAATTTGATATCTTGTGATGAGTTCCATTCATCTGATCGTTCCTCATTAATCTTTAGTGTCGCGATTTGGTCGGTAGACGATGCAGATGTGATCGATCTGGTTCGTTGAAGTGTGCTCCGATGAAACCCACGTGGCTTTATGTGTGCGATTGTGTGCTGTCACTGATAACCATTGTATTGAAGGCACACCGATTCGCACGTTTTTCACCATTTTTGTTCTGTTCTTCCACTCCATGTCATTCCATACCATCTTCATATTCAGTGTTATCCAATTTGACTTCAGTGCTTAGGTCTCCCATCAAAAAGGTCAGATCGTCCTAGGAATTCCTTCATCATCGATAGCAGCCTCACAGAATTGATTTTTATCGTCTTCATTGTTGTAGATGGTATTCACATAGCACTGGATCACATTGATCGTAACCCTCTGTTTCCTTGTGTTGGATGATTATCCTGTGTGCATGGGATTCACACGCTGTAGGTGCTTTTCGTTTTCATTCCAGTAGCATCAGTACAACTCCTTGTGTGTGTAAGTCATTTTCTCCCGGATGGTTGGAGTACAACGGCATCTCTGTAGAAGCTAATTTTTTCTGTCCTACTTGTGTCCAATGGAATACACTTAGTGCAAGAACCAACAGGTCGTATCTTTTCATTTCCGCAGCTATTCCTCGTGCTCTAAATTGTGCAAACATTCCATGTACTTATGTTAATTATTGATCTGATTGTGAGAAGTCACATCGGCCCCATGGCATCGAAAGAAGCTAGGATTCGATCATGAGGCGACATAACTCTTCTAAATGAAGACTTTTCAATTCCTAGAACATAGTTTAAATTGTCTTAAGTGGTTTTTTGTGATTAGCGTTTTTTAGGCAGATGGTTTTCTATGGCGTGAGTCTGGTTTGTTCTCTATTCCACAAAGTAAATTGAAGAGTTCTGGTCGGCCGTTTATGCACCATTAGGGGTAACTGGTTGTAAGTCAGTGAAAAAAGTATTTCCTGTGAGATGGTGTTGTAGCTAGTCCTATTCCCTCCTCTTTTATCTGTACTTATTGATATGCAATAACTGTAGAAGATTTACAAGCAGACAGACAGACAGACAGAGACAACGCAGATGACGATTATGAATAGGTTTTAGACAAGGACTTCTCTAAAGGAATCATTGATTAGAGTAGACAAGTTTCATTCATTACTATGTAGATCATTTTCTCATCAAATTCCTTCCTCAGTGTTAATTTCATGCTCTTTTTTGTTTTCTGTTTATTCTGATTACTTTTTATTTTTCTAGGCTGTGTCGATTCATCAAATATTGAGTTTAATATCAAAACGTTTCACAAAAATCCAGTCATTTTTATCCGATTCATTGGTGGTACCACAACAAAATAATTCTTCATCATCTATTTCAGACAATTGTTCTTCACCTTCATCTAGTCATCAGTCATTGAATAGCTTATCTGGTCATCAAGTTCATCATTCTCAGCTTAATAATTCCTCTGTTAATATTACTAATAATAATAATTTAGATGACAACAAGGCAGATACACAACTTCATTCACATAATAATTCAATCCAAATGGTGGATACTTTGCCTACACCTACACTACTAACCTGTACAGTATCACTAACTGGTGTTCTAAATTTAATTCTTTCAACTGTCGATGAATTGACTGCTTTATTCACTGATGAAATTATCCCAGTAGCACCGAAAGCTCAGAAAAAAGTACCTATTCCTGAAGGTTTGGATTTAGACGCTTGGATTAATCCACCAGTATTAATTCGTAAGCAACCCTGGACGAATACAATAGATTTTATTGGAGTTAGTTACATTGAATTATTATTTTGTTTCAAAATGTGTTGTTTTTTTGTTTTGTTTTGGTCATATTTATATCGCGAACAAATATTTTCACTTGATTCATATTTGTATTTTAATATGTAATAAGTTTTTGAATATGACAGACAGATAGACAGACAGACAGATACAACGCAGAACTTCGTACGTACTTACATTAGTTCAGGTTGCCACCATGCCCCATCAGCACAGAGACGCAACTGTCAGTTCAAAACCAGGAGTGATTGCGATAGCAGAATTATTAGCAGTAATAGAGAAGATTAGGGAGCGAAGATATTATTCATGAAGTATAATTCAGTGAGATAAATTTAGAAGGAGAAAGGTAGAGATTATGAGGAATTCAGTAGGTTAGAATTAAAGAGAACACAAAGAGTGGATGCACCTGCGCCATTGCAAACGATTCTCAGCCATGTCATTCAAGGTCTCTAACCACTGGTGACTATCGTCTCGCAGGCGCCCCAACCAGGTAGCCTACATCTACCAACATGACTCAGTCTACTTGTCAGTGACTTCATGGATCTCTGCCATGTTTTGGTTTGGCCGCCCCTAGCTTTCTTCCAATCTACTTCTACACTGTAAAACATAGCTCGTCGCGGCAGTCGGTGGTTAGCCATACGTAACACATGTCCCAACCACCTCAACTGATGAAGCTTCACCACTTCATATATTGATTTGCCATCCCTACCTAGAACTCGTATCCTAACGACAGCATTATATGGTTATCCCATGATACACAAGCAATGCTTCGGAGACATTGATGAATTGAACTGTTAAGTATTTCATTATCTTTGTGTTGGGGATGTTAAATCCCCCAGAACTCACTTGATGAAGGTCCTTATTTCGAATTCGATGTTTTCGAGCATGGGCTAAATCAGTCGACCTTGAGACTACATTTCCCACCTGGAAAATCCTTGGCTGTTATTGGTTGGTGTGTGGTTTTAGCACGCTATTTTTGTGACTTTCAAGGTCGTTTCTATCATGTATAAATAAACTCGATTTGTTTTCTTGTCAACCTCATGTAGTGCCTCTGCATATATTCCAGTTCGCTTACATTTAACTTGGTTAAGCCCTTTCGATTAATTTATTTAACCAAGCCATTTGTATTGCAACAATTTGTATGTACCATTCGTTCTTATTATTGTCTGGCTTATGTAAGCTCACATGACGTGTCTCACTTGTCATTTGACCTTGTCAACCATTCGTCGCATTTATTTACGTATGTGCATGCCTATTTCGCTTGTCACATGTCTGTCTTATATTTGTCTGACTTAATATTCCTAGTCATGCTCTATTTCTTTGAGTTGGCTCAACAACCTTCTCCAACCCTCACTGCTTCTCCGCTTCACTTTGTGGTGTGTCCCAAATAAACGTATTCATCACTACGAGCTCATATTTTGATTTATAAACCGTCAGACGCTATTTAGTAACGATTGTCTAGACGAGCTAATTACCGAGCTTAAGAACACGCAATCCATCGACACACTACAAATGGTGAGCCCGACTTGATCAGAATCGGCCACCATACTCATATTTTCTAGATGCTTGTCGAATATACATTCTAAGCCATATCAGTACGTCTTCCTCTATTTAGTTGGGGCCTTGGGGACGCGTAATAAATAGTTCAAGCATATCAGTTGACAAGCATAACACTTTGACAATATTATGTACTCTCATTCTTATCTGATCCCACTGATGAATACATTTAATTATTTTCCTTGTAATTTATCAATTTTCTTTTCTTTAATTTTTCTAAAGAAATCTATGAATGAAACTGATCATGATAATGATGATCATCCCAATGAATGTGATAATATATTTCCAGATTTACAAGATAATAAATCACAAACTATTCAACTAACACCTGAACAATTAGATGAGGTGAATATTATTATTTTTTTTTTTTGATTTCAATTTCTATATTTCATTTGTAAACAGATCCGGATAAGAATTCTGTAATGTCTGTTCACAGTGAGATAGTAGTGGTTTTGAATTTCAAGGTGGAGCATTGACATTCACGTGCCGATGAGTTTTAATTAGGATGAAATGAACTTCATGGACTCGATTGCTAGCCACAAACTAAACATATCGAGTGAAAAAGAAAAATGGTTTAGAGATTTCGTAGGATTGTTGACAGTTTATCTTATGATTTCTATGATTGTAATAGTATGATTCATAATGTATGATGAAATTTTAATTTTGATCTATATTAGGTATTAAACAAATCATCCTATCTTATTGCAGTTCTATTGATTATATGTCCGTGATACAGGATAACACAATAACTATTGTTTAAGGTTAATACTCATGTCATTTTTCCTATATATATAATATGGTTACATTTGTGACAAGCATTAATCATTCAACTCTATATTCTGAAATCACATGTGTTTTAAATCAAATTAAATCATGTACTTTGGGGTAGAGTTTTGGAGGTTTGTGCTTTTTTTTACACATTTGAAATCATCCCATACCAGAAAGGAACGGCCGTCCAGTGCTTCCAGGTTTCTGATGGTGGTCTAACAATGATTGATTAATGATTTCAAATGTGTTAGAAACACAAACCTCCAAAACTCTCCCGTGAAATATCGTAACAGTGCTCACTAGTGACTAGCTTCGTGAGGAAATTCTCGGAGTTCTAGTTGAGAAGACGTGACTAATCGAGTTCAACCCTGTCGGGTATAGGCATTAACTACCAAAGACAAATGGGTGAGGTCGCGCAAAATCCCTAGATCAATCAGAGTTAGACATTAACACCGTTGGATGCCGGCCCAGTGGTCCGATGGTTAGGCGTTCGCGCACAATGCCGAAAGTCCCGGGTTCGAATCCTGCGAGGTGCAGGAGTCGCAGATGCACACTGCTGATGAGTCCCATACCAGGACGAAACGGCCATCCAGTACTTTCAGGTTTCTAATGCTGGTCTAACAATGGTTCATTGGTGATTTCAAATGTGTAATAAATCATGTACGTCAAATGTTTGCATACAAAACACAATAAATTTGCAATTGCCAACTTGTGAAAACCACCCAACGCATTAGCTTAGTGAACTTTTACTAACCTTAACAGTTTAGATCACAACTTGTATGCTATATTCTCAGTCGTGATCCTTTGTTCTGACTCCAAACACTAACCTACAATAAACTTGTAAAAGGAAACTATTTTTTCAAAGTTGAAATAATAGTAATATTCTGTAGCTTTTTTTAAATATCCGTTAACCAACTGGTTGACATTTACTTATAAGTAGTAGTTTTCAGTTGAAAAAAATTTGTGTAATTGTCAATTAGATTACTTGAATTTTGCTACACATTTGATTTATCTTATTGATAAACTGTACATTTATAGATGCGTTCAAAACGATTAGAAAGTCAACAGAACAATCCTAATTATTTGAAACCGATGGTGATGAATACAAGAAAGGATAAGCTGGAGAATTCGTTAGATGAACAACAAAATGATGTTAATCTAATTAACAATGGTGTTGAGCAATTGAATTTGAATGCAACTGATTCTGGCAAACAGAAACAACAACCACAACAACAACAATCCTATACACAAACTAATGGTAAGCAATTTTGATATTTCCTCCTTTGAAATGGTTAAATTTGTTTTTTAGCCTATTATTGTCTAACTCAATTTAGTAACCTTATATTAGTTGAACAATCAATAGAATGGAACTCAGCACTCTACATCAACTTCATCGACTACGAGAAAGCATTCGATAGCGTGGATAGGAAAACACTGTGGAGGCTTCTTCGACACTACGGTGTACCTGAGAAAATAGTTAACATCATACGGAATTCTTATGATAGATTCAACTGCAAAATCGTGCACAGAGGTCGGCTGAATGACTCATTCGAGGTGAAGACCAGTGTCAGGCAAGGTTGCTTACTCTCACCTTTTCTCTTTCTCCTGGTGATCGACTGGATTATGAAGACGTCAACATCTGGAAGGAAGCACGGTATCAACTGGACAGTTAGGATGCAGATGGACGATCTGGACTTCGCAGATGACCTGACTCTTTTATCGCACATGCAACAACAAATGCAAGAGAAGACGACCAGTGTAGCAGCAGCCTCTGCAGCAGTAGGTCTCAACATACATAAAGGAAAAAGCAAAATTCTCCGATGCAACACAACATGCACCAACCAAATCACTCTTGATCGAGATAGATGCCTTCGAGGACGTTAACACATTTACATATCTTGGCAGTATCATCAACGAGAAAGGTGGATCCGATGCAGATGTGAGTGCGCGGATTGGCAAAGCAAGGGCTGCATTTCTACAGTTACAAAATATCTGGAACTCCAAACAACTTTCAACCAAAACCAAAATCAGCATTTTCAATACAAATGTCAATACAGTTCTACAGTATGGAGTGGAAACTTGCAGAAATACGAAAGCCATCATCCATAAGATACAAGTGTTTATTAACAGTTGTCTACGCAAAATACTTCGGATTCGTTGGCCAGACACGATCAGCAACAACCTACTGTGGGAGAGAACAAACCAGATTCCAGCGGAGTTGGAAATCATTAAGAGGCGGTGAAAATGGATAGGACACACATTACGAAAAGCACCTAACTGCGTCACAAGACAAGCCCTCACTTGGAACCCTCATGGCAAAAGGAAAAGAGGAAGGCCAAAGAACACATTACCCTGAGACATAGAGAAAGACATGAGAGGAATGAACAAAATTTGGACAGAATTGGAAAGAGAAACCCAGGACAGAGTTGGTTGGAGAAAACTGGTGGGCGGCCTATGCTCCATTGGGGGTAATAGGCGAAAGAAGAAGAAGATATTAGTTCAGTTGTAATCCAGTGATTTGAGCAGTGAAATTATGGCGACTGTTGATCCGAATACTGTGGACCCATCATCTTTGGTTTAAAGAAATTTTCAGAAAAGTACTTTTAACTTCATCATATCATTGCTGTTATTAGTTTGTAGTGACTCCACTTTTATGAAAGAGAACGCAGCGATCAGTTTAATATAAACATTCATTATTATAACCGATTGTACCAGTGATTGTTTTACTGTACTCGTTTGTTTAATTGTACCCAAAACAGACCTTGCTTCTTTCATTGACCTTGGGCTTGTTAATATACTCGTGATAGTCTTGCTTGAATATTTTGCACGGATCGTGGCATTCTTTCGATACCACGAGATCTCCAACGATTATACTTCAACTCTAATCGTAGCTGGTCATTTGGTCTCTGCCTCTAATGGGATTCAACGTGGTTATTTGCGTAATATGATATTAATTCGCTATATTTGGTGAGCCCGATGTTCGCTATAAGTTCGTGAACCAACAATTTACTACTGAACTGTTCAAAGTTTGAGTCAATTTTATGGAAAGGATTGTTAGTATATTATCGACAAACTACATCTCATTGTAATTCATAGAGTATGCAGTTTTCAAACAGTAGTTCATAGGTTTAAACTTTATTTCGGTCAGCTTTGGTTTCAATGGTTGGCTAGTATAGTAGTTATGTGTAACAACTTATTATTTTGGGCACTGTAACTCATTACATAAACTTGTATGCTTCTATTTCGTTTCTTTGTACTTATTTATCACTGCTTATGATTTTCACTGATTTATATTTTAAATGTATTACTTTTACAGCACGTAAATTAGCTACATCCGATCAGTTCGCTGCTGAAATACGTAAACAATTTCAAACCAGTGCGTCTAATGAAGGACGAAAACTGAAGTTAGTCTAACATTTTGTATTTTTTTTCAAGTAGTCCAAATGACATATTGGTGTTTTTTGATGATTGCATAGGCAAGATGTTCGTATTCTGTGAAATGTAGCCTTTGAAAGTAGGAGTTATGTGTAGGTAATTCGACTCAAGTATTTGATTAATAGGTATCTTTGAAACGTTGCTTGTGTATGTTAGAACCATTGGGTGAATCAGAGCACTGGATAAGGAAATCATTGAATTTTAGTTACAGCCATGCATATTACATGAATTCGGTTCGTTCTTTCATTCATCGTGAAAAACTGCTGGAGACATTGGGTAATGTCTTAGAAACAGTCGCAATAGCAACGATATGTTGATTTCTTATATTTTCAAGCAGCACAACTGATCGAACTCTATTCAAGTTGCATTGTATCTACTAATTTAAATGATTTGACCTTGCGATGGACTTTGTTTCATTTTGACACTAGTTGTTGGTTATTATAATAGGAAAGGTAAATTTGATCCGAAATTTGAAAGGTTAAAAGTTCACTGATTATATATTGAGTATAATTTAAGTACATTAGGAATAGATTACATGTCTGTTTAATTCGTAATCCAGGAGTGGACCTTCTACCAGGAGACTCACTTGTTAACCTAGAGTATGCCGATGACATAATTCTACTTGTTGAAAACGCTGACAAAATGCAGTCTTCTGACCACCCTAAGCAACAATGCAAACATGTTCGGGATGCGATTCTCACCTTCGAAATGCAAAATGTTGCTTCAAGACTGGGTTGCATTGGCACCTGAACTAGTGATAGGGAGTGAAGTAGTCGAGCGTGTTGATCGCTTCACTTATCTGGGAAGTCTCATCAATGCTGATGGCGTGGTGACTGACGAAATCTCAGCCCGGATACAGAAAGCTCGATTGGCTTTTCCCAACCTAAGTCACTTATGACGTAGGCGAGATATCCGTTTACTAAACAAAAGACGAGTGTACTGCGCAGCAGTTCGCTCCGTCTTACTTTATGGCTGCGAAACATGGCCGGTGAGAGTTGAGGATATTCGTAGGTTAGTGGTATACGATTATAGATGTCTTCGGAGCATTGCTTGTATATCCTGGGACCACTGAGTAAGCAATGCAGTTGTTAGGAAACGGGTGCTAGGTAGAGATGACAAATCATTTGAGGTGGTTGGTACATATGTCGCGTATGCCCAACCACCAGCTGCCTCGACGAGCTTTGTTTATATTGTAGGAATAGGTTAGAAGAAAGTTAGAGGCAGCCAGACCAAAACATGACACAAATCCATGAAGTCACTGACAAGTGGACTGAGTCATGTTTGTAGATGTAGACTACCTGGTTGGGGTAGTCTTCTTCTACTACCTCTACTACTATGTGATTTGAAACGACAATTGCATCTCTGTGTTAATGTGGTATGGCAACTTGAACTGATGAACTTACGTACGAAGTTCTACATTGTTATCTACTTGACTTGACATCATATATCACGGTCGTGGAGCATATGTAATACATAGACTAACCATCTTGTGTATCACTGCCGATGCAGGATCGATAACAATTTGAAAGTCAGTTTTTGTCAAATTCTCAAAATGCTTATCAATCATTGTCTTGCACTATAATTTAACTGTCAATTTGTTTCCATCTGGATTTCGAAATAAATTCTCACCAAACAATTGTAATCCCATTAATCATCGATAATCTACAATCTTCAACAAATTAGTTGATTGTCATAATAAATGAAATACAATCATTGAATAACAACAACCTACGGTCATACAAACTATATGAATATCTTCATCTGTTAGATGGTTTGACTGTTCTTCATTCATATTGTCTGTAAAGTATTAAACTTCCGATATCAAGTTGCCTGACTTCAATTTGATCAGTTGAATAGTAGTATATCATTAGCCTAGTATAATTATGTCCTTTAGCTATTGTTTCGAACTTGTAAAGATTTCTAATCTATTTTATATAACCTTTCTTATCACTTAGATCAACAGCGCCAACAAGTAATAATTCGAAAAAGGCTCATAAGAAAAAACATCAAATCACAACGTCACCACCAACTTCATTAACAAATAATCATCATCATTCTAATCATATTGAAAATACTTCTGAAGAAAATGAACTAAATCATACTGCGGTCGGTAAATTCACGTCACATGTTGTTTGTTGTGATTACGATATGCCTGAGGTAAATATTGTATGCAAATGGTAGTTGATCATTTTCCCTTTCTTTTTCACGAATTTATGATCAATTCATAGTTTGCATCATGAACTGATCGTAGTTAGAGGTGCTAAACAGCTGTTTCGTCTTAATATGCGCGATCCTCATCAGTTAATGTCGGAAACTTCACTGGTAACTGAACCCAAGATCTTCAGGTCTCACAGCGGGCACTTAACCTATAAACTACTGATCTGGTACCCAGTTGTTTAGATGTTTAACATCCATCAATCTGTAATCTTGCTTAACCATCTTCCGATAGCATTGGATAACTGCTTCTTACCCTGAATGTTTGGACCCACCAGATCATAGTTTCTTACTCGCGCTCCAAAAGTTATCTATCTATGAGTTCAACTACACTGGCTGTCTGTCAGTTATCCACCAATATCTCTAACAGTACGCGAGATTAACGGCACTGGAAGATGTGGTTGTGTAATATCTTCAATCAATTTAAGTTGTAAATGTAAATCGCTTGATATTGTGTCAGTAGTCTAAATGTTAAGTGCTTGTCATGAAACCAAAGCGTTCCGGGTTCAGTCATTGGTAAAGTTGTAGGTGAACAGTGTTAAGAGATCCTGATATTAGGACGACATAGCTGTCCAGTGTCTTCTAGTTTTGAACAATTTTCTAAGATCAGTTTGTAATTTAAACTGAAATTCAACAATATCCACAAGCCTGTAGTAATCTATTATTCTTATTATTACTATTATTATTGACATTCTGACCAATGATCATATACAATGTGACTGTATATTAATCTTCGACTAGTTTGTGATCTTTTTCGTATATTTTCCATGTAAAATATATTTGTTTAGAATCTTATTTGTCCTAAACAACTCTTAATTCACAGTTTTATCTTGCTGTAGAAACTGTGCATCAAACAGTCAAAGCTTGTGTACAAACCGTATGTGTATCCGATCAATTTATTGACATGCTCTACATTCACTATGTGCCTTGTGATTTTTGGGGTTCTATGAATTAACATTCAGATGACCTGTTAAGATAACACCTCTCTATGTTCATTACATATAGATAAATAGTTGAATTCTAGTAAATTGCTCTCATTAAGTTTCAATGTATTCTTTGATAAACTGGTCAAGATCGAAAACATAATCATCTATAATTTGAAATGTTAAGGAGTGAAACGATTAAAAAAATGCTTCATTTTCGCAGCTGTATCCGTTATTCCGTACTTATTACTAATAGTGTTTGAACTGTATTTCCTACAGTTAGTCTATCATTATTACTGATATTATCCTAGTTTTCTTTCTATATTTTCTATATACTGAACTAAGTGACTTAACAAGAATGTCCTAAAGGACGAATGCCTGTCATTGGTTAAAAAGTGGCTTTCTTTTCAAAAGAGGTAAATACTTATGATTCGGTTGTCAAAGAGACCTCTTTCTGAGCTTCGACTTCTCGCTCAGGCAGCCAACCAGTTTCGGGCTTTCAGATCTCGGCACCGCGCATCATGACAATTTCTCATTTTCATAATATCATCCCTTGCTATTCTGATGTTAGATGCACCAAATATGATCAATACACCTTCATCCAAGCTCCTGGGTCATCTATAGCTGACTTTAATTCACATAACATCTGGTACTACTGAGAATCAAAAATTGTGTGCGCTACACATGATAGAATTTTTATGCGAGCGGGGATACCGTCGGCGCCCTCCCCCCTTTAATCGAAGTTGGTTGTTTCATTTTGGGACTATTCTCCAAGTTTTTGACCCAAAAGTCACCTAAACAACATTAGAAGTTATCGTTGATTCTTAGCAGCTAATCACAAGTTGATTCATACCCAGTTCATTCATTTAGAATTCCAGAGTCCATGTACACTTTCCTTTTTATAGAATCACAGTTTAACAACTCTCCTGGGTGAGCCTTCTATACCTATCTATCAAGCACCAAGCATACTCGCTTTTTATCCTCCGACTTTCGTAAAATACACCTTCACACACCTTGTATTCCTTCCATAGCAGAACCTTTAAATGTATAGCTAAATGAAATCGTTTTAAGAGGGAGCGCGAACTCTTCTCTCTCGTTTGACAAGGGCCTATTGTATAATTACTTCATTCTTGTATATACATACATATACATATTCATAATAATTCCATAACTTTACTTACAATATGGTAATACATTTTTGAAAGAAATCAACTCATTTATTCTCTACTTATTTAGGGAGTCTCTATAGACAATGAATCATCAAGTGATACTGAACATGCGAATGATCCACATCATCGACTAAATATTGTATTGGATAATTTTATTACACAAGATAACCAAAAATTATCACATTCTACTCCATCTCGACAAAGTAAACATACAACAGTTCACAAAAGTTCATCAAAGAAATCTTCGAAATTATCGTCTAAAGTAAGAAGTGTTCAACTAAGAATATCTCTTTTTTTTCTCAATAAACAAACAATACTGTTTTACACTTTTTAAAGATCCACTGACTACACCATTGAAAACTGTTATGCTCGTCAAATCGATATGCTTAAGTGCTATTACAAGTTCACTTTAGTAAACGAGAGCTAAGACACATGATCCATCGACACGATAGGCTACTCTGATCCGAGCGTCACAAGCCCCCACTGACGGTATCTAAAAGTCTTGATATGTGCTTGTAGAAAGTGTATTCTACAAGCACCCAGAAACTATGCGGGTTTGTACAGAAGAAGAAGAAAAAGAGCATATAAGTTTACAGACAATGCGTATTTATACAGTTAGGTCGACTGTGAATACTAACCAATGGGAGACAATATTTAAAAGTATGTGAAATTGATAGTTTAGGACGACCTTAAATATTGACCGATAGAATTAGACTTACAAAATATTTGATGAATATCCTAACAAAAACAAACTAAAGACTTGCTATGTAGTTACTGGTGTCTACTTCATCCATGAAGTCATTGACGAGTGGACTTAGCCATGTCGGCAATTGTCGACTACCTGGTTGGGGTCCGCGAGATGATAATAATCGATGGCTAGAGACCTTGAATGACATGGCTCAAAATCGTTCGCAATGGCGCCGGTGCATTTATTCTTTGTGTTCTCTCAAATCCTAATCTTCTGGGTTCTTCAACACCTCTAGTTTTTACTTTCTAAACTTATCTCATTGAATCATACTTCGTGAATAATATCTTCTAATCCTAACCTCTCCGATTACTTCTAATACCTTTACTACCTCTTCTACTATTGGATTTGAATTGACAATTATATCTCTGTGCTGATGTGGTATGGCGACATGAACTGATGTACTTACGTAAGAAGTTCTACGTTGCAACTGACTGACTTTCATTCTGTTCGAGATGGTGTTTAATATTCAATGGTCCTTCAATTAATATTGGAGGTTGATTCTGTGTGTTAGATTTGAAATCTTAGGGGAACCAGTGAATTCCCTGGTGAATTCGATTCCGTGTCATCGACGATCTCAAATCTTGACACAAGGTTATCAGGGTCAAGTCTGATCTCCTCTAGAGGACCAAGATATTTACAATTAATCGATTAATTCAGTATCAACCAATATCATGTTTTTCTAGCCCTTTTAGTGCCGGTGAACTTTAATCTATAAATTCAACTGATTTCGGTCTGTCGTTAAAATCATTCTCATAAATATTAGGTCGGGCGTTCGCGAACAGGACTAAAGGTCCTGGGTTCGAATCCTGCGAGGTGCAGGAGTCGTGGATACGCACTGCTGACGGATTCCATACCAGGACGCAACGGCCTTCCAGTACTTCCAGGTTTCTAATGGTGGTCTAACAATGATTGATTGATGATTTCAATATGCAACAAACACTAATCTCCATAACTCTAATTGAAAAAATCGCAAAATGTGCTCACTAGTGACTAGCCTCGTGAGGAAATTCTCGCAGTTCTAGTGAGATGTGACCAGTGGAGTTCAACCTTGTCGGCTGCAGGTAGTAACTAACGACGACAAACGGGTGGGGTTGGGTAAAATCCTTAGATTGATCGGAGTTAGACATTAACACCGTTGTATACCGGCCCAGTGCTCCTGAGGTCGCGTTCGCGCACAAGACCGGAGGTCCTGGGTTCGAATCCTGAGAGGTGCAGGATTCGTGGGTGCACACTGCTGATGAGTCCCACGTCAGGACGAAACGGTCGTCCAGTGCTTCCAGGTTATCTAACAATGATTGATTAGTGATTTCACTATGCAATAATTATCATTGAATTTTTTTTTCGCTAATATTTTATTTGATATATGCTCAAATGACTACTTATTTACTATATCAAATTTCTTTTGTTTATGTACTATGTAAGCACCGTAAAATCAATGAAAAAATGAGCGATCATCAACCAATTAATGAAACACCATCTTCCGAGAATGTTAATCATGAGCTTGTATTGGATAACAATGATAACAATACAACTGGTCATCGATCAGGCTACGAAGCATTTGATACAGATCTGAAACAAACGAAAAGATCATCACAAACAACTTTGAATTCTCATCATGATCATGATCGACAGGTATGTTGTTTTCCTTTTGCTTTTATATTGTTCAAAACTTGAATACTGAATTGAAAAAGATGTCAAAAAAACAGTAAAATTCTACTGTAAATGTCTGTTTATTTACTGGATTAAGTAGAGAGTAAGTTATGCTTGCTTACTTACTTACGCCTGTTACCCCCCGACGGAGTATAGGCCGCCCACCAGTTTTCTCTAACCAACTCTCTCCTAGGCTTCCAAAAGTTATGTTTACAGTACTAATAATAGTTGTGATGTGTCCAGTGGAAATGTATCTTTGATCGATTCATGAAAGAAAACAAATATGTTTGGCTACACAAAGTGTAATACACTATCTTATTGATAAGTTTGCTAAATGAATGTCAAATCTGTTTTCGTATCTGCTTCTAATAATAACCACAGACTAGATTCTACACTACAACTTGAACACAAGAGAAAAAGGTGCAAAGTACAAGAAGGTTAATTTATTTACAGAAAAATGAGGTTATTTGTAGTTACTCATTGACCCTTAAGCTTCTGACAGGTCCAGGAACCATGCTAAACATTGTAGCGGTATGTGATTCTGCCTTTTCCAGATGTTTCTGTGAAGGTTCTGCTTATTGCTAATTCTTAGCGTTTATGGGCCCCTAGAGATTTTTCCGAAAGATATTTTGGGACCTCCCCAACATGCATGTAAAACTTACTGCTATATTTATTGCGTTATAATATGATTCAATGCTCACCAATATTGGGTACTTAATCGGCTGTCAGTAAAATCTTATCACTTGATTAGATTTTTTACTTTTTCAATTAGGGTTTTTCACACATTGAAATCATCAATCAAGCATTGTTAGACCACCACATGAGAAACCTGGAAACACTGAACAACCGTTTCGTCCTCATCAGCAGTGTGCACTCATGACTCCTGCACTTCGCAGGATTCGAACCCAGGACCTTCAGTCTTGCGCGAGGACGCCTAACTTCTGGACCACTGGGCTGGCGGCATCCAACGGTGTTAATGTCTAAGTCTTCAATCTGGAGATTTTGCGTGACCTAACCCATTTGTCTTTGGTAGTTACTGCCTACACCCGACAGGGTTGAACTCCACTGGTCACGTCTTATCACTAGAACTCTGAGAATTTCCTCACGAGGCTAGTCACTAGTGAGCACATTTGACTGTTTTGATTCGATGTCATGATTATTGAATCAATTGATCCAGGTGATATAGTTAAAATGGACTGATTTTATCAGATCTACACTTGCGTAATCGACGGTTTATGCGATTAATGTGTGTATTGTATTTACGAGTGATAATAGCATCTCCAGACAGTGAATATGAAGATGATAGCCACACTGGGTTCAGGTATATGAATCAAGTTACTTATCATTTCTGGCTTGTTAACTCTCGTATCTGACGCTTGTCATACATGTTTTTGATTCTGACCGATTTGGCCCCGTGCGCTTTTATGGGGTCAAGCTAAAACATGGCATAAATCAATGAAGTCACTGGCAAGTGAACTGAGCCATGTCGGTAGATGTCGATTGCCTGGTTCGGACCCACAAGATGATAGTAATCGATAGTTAAAGACCCTAAATGACACTGTTCAAAACAGTTTACAATGGCGCAGGTATATCCACTCTTAGTGTTCTCTCAAATCATAACCTTCTGAATTCTTCATCACCTTTATCTTTTTCTTTCAAGTTTATTTCAGTAGATTCTACTTCTTGAATAGTATCTTCCAAATCTAATCTCTCCGATTACTGCTAATACTTCTATTACCTTTACTATTATATGGTCTGAATTTGTAGTTGTACCTGTGTGTTAATGTGGTATGGCAACATGAACTTATGTACATACGTACGAAGTTCTATGTTGTTGTTGTTGTTGACTGACATACATGTTTTATGTGTAGTCTACTCCGTCGATTACTTGATGTGTATCTTGGGATATAATCTTGAATCCGAATAGTTGTAATATAAATTTTTACCGATTGTTTTCTGTCTGATCTTTGTTTTGTTTTGTTTTTTTGTTCAATTTCAGTCCCCTAATAATTCACCGATATCATCATCTATTCAATCATGTAATAAATCTATGATTAGTATTAACAAGAATTGTATCTCAACACCACCGGAAACACAATTCTTTATATCATCAAAAATAAATGCTGAATTATTTAATTCACTTTTATCCACTGGTAAATTGAATTCATTTCAATCAACAAAAATTCATTGTCCCAGTTTATTGTTGATTATTCGTCAACTGGAAAAGTCCAATTCTGTAACAATGCATACAACAAATAAGATATTCACACAATTAATATCTGTACTTGAGAAGAAGATACCATGTTTAGGTAAGTGAATTCACCGACTAAATAGAAGGATTTGTCTTGTGTGTGTATGTATGTGTTCATCGTTGTATTGATTTTTGATGATTGTGGAAAATGTTTGTCAGCGGTATGAAATGTGAATTTTGATTGTGTATGGATATTCATCCAATATCCTAAGAGAATTATTGATCTATTCCTATTGGTTCATTCCTACCGATCAATTTTATGATCGTCCTAGATATCATATCACGTACTCCAATGTTGTTTCTTATTGATTGTCCTGACTATCAATGTCACTTCAAATGTTGCTTCCTATTGGTCGTCTTAACTGTCAATGTCACAGACTTCGATGCTGTTTCCTTCTCGAACTAAATGTATAAATACGCATTATCTGTAACGTTTTATGACCAGGACCCAGTCCCAGATCCCTAGTCCGGTATCCCGATTCTCTTTTGGATTCGGACCTCGTACTTTCGGGATGCTTGTAGAATACAGGTTCTACTTCATATCAAGTCTTCTTATTTTTACTAAATATGGGAGTTGATATAATTGGATTTAAGTAGCATGTCGTGTCGCCGGATCCTCGATCCTAGCTCTCGTATTCCGACTAAGATAAACTCGTAATAGTTTAAGTATATCAAGCTGACGTGTTTACGTGCAGGCGTAACAATTTTGGCGACGGGGATGGGATCACATTGATCCCTTGAGACTTGAATTATTACCCGAGCAGCAGCTGAACTAATGAAGATGTTGATGGATACCAAGCTGCATCGTGACACGACTATGGTGGATCAAGTCAGTTTGGCGGTGTGTATTGTAAGCGATATGCGGAAATTATTTAGGAATCAATTCTATTATTTATCAATAGACGTCATTGTTATTTCTGAAAGTGATTCGATTACCACCAATCTGAAACTAGATTGCGAATTATCAGTAAAATCTTCCTCACGAAGCTAGTCACTAGTGAGCACAAGTGATTTGCATTACGGGGTTGTGAAGATTGTTAAGTTACACATTTTTGAAACTACCGAAGACTGTGTATGAGGTTGCGCAACTCCGTGAATTGATGAAGTTAGACATTAACACCGTTAGATACCGGCTCAGCGGTCCAGTGGTTGTTAGGCGTTCGCGCACAAGACCGAAGGTCCTGGGTTCGAATCCCGCGAGGTGCAGGAGTCGTGGATGCGCACTGCCACTGATGAGTCCCATACCAGGAGGAAACGGCTGTCCAGTGCTTCCAGATTTCTAACGGTGGTCTAACATTGATCGATTCATGGTTTCAAAAATGTGTAACTTAACAATCTTCACAATCCCGTAATGCAAATATAAATTTATCTAGTTGTCTTTGAACTTCACTATTTACGTGATGACTGGCGATGAAGCAGAATTCCAAGCCGCTACTATCTAATTGAAATCCAGTTGCTTCATAATCTCTAATCTCTACTAATCTATCCAGACAGAGTAGTGCACCCATCCAAACACATTACTTTCATTGCTTACAAGACTGATATAAAAAGTTACATAGACACATAAAGATATTAATGATCTTTGTACTTTGTCTAATATGCAAAAATAATAGTGAGTGCTCATTTGTACATTTACATGGAATGTATTCTGTTTTTTTTCTTTTCATGAATGAATATCTTGTTATTCATTTATTTCTAGTAATCGAGTCTTTGGATAATCGTGCTGCTTCACTCTACACCGAATACATTCCACTTAGAGAACCTATATGCATTTTAATGAAAATATCCGTAAGTTCTCAGTTAGTTTGTACTTTTTTTTACTCATCTTATCAATTACTACTGGTAGTAAAAAATTTTTCCCTAGTGCTATATACTTAATCCGAAATAATTCTGTTTCTAAATATTACTATTACTATTGTTCAGTTCTCTTGTATTAATCTGCGTTTTCAATAATACAGAATGATGGCTGCTAATAAACTCATCAATTCAGATTTTAGTTTGTTCAAATGATTACAATAGACCACCAAGTATCGAGGGTTTATGGAGATTTCCAGGCTTTGTTGCTATCACGTACTGATCTTTGCTAAGAAAGTGTTAGAAATCCAGCAGCGGTAGTAGACATCTGCTTCATCTTCTTTTTAGTCCCTCAACAGTGTGTACACTTACGACCCCACCACAGGCTGTCGAAAATAGAATCTCTGATCTCATATGGGAATGATTAACCTCTAGACTCCTGAGCGAGAATCCTACGGTGTATAAGTTTAACTTCGATCAATCCGTGGTATTAAATGACCATCATCCGTGTCATTAATGGTTGTCTAAGATTTTAATAGTTTGGATGACTAGAGCGATTTTCATCACTTATAAGCAGACTCTTAGCCATTCTATCTCAAAGATTTTAACTAGTATCGAAACCAAAGCTCCACTCTTACTAGATTTAATCGTTACCACGAGACCAAGATATAATATTAATTTACAAACTCACAAACTGTCAGTTGGTAATCAATAGTTGAGAACACTCTTTGATAATAATAATAATAATTATTATTATTATTATTATTATTATAAATGATTATTTTTATAGCCATAGAAGTAAAAAAGTGAGAGAGAAAGCGAGATATAGCAAATTGTGTATGTACACACAACTCAGGTTTTAAACTGGAGGATGTCAAAGCGTTCATATAGTATAAAATAGGTTAATGTGTACACAACTTAGCATTTTTAACTGGATTTTGTAACTGGTGTCATAAGATGATGAGTTATTTGAAAGCTGGATATCCTTTGTTCGTTATATGTCTTAAAGTTGACAACGTAATTGACTTCTGTCATGTAGCAAGCATACTGTTGCGTATATTACATTTTTCCTGATCATCATTTTTGTAAATTATATACTCAATGATCAAACTAGTTTCAATTCAACAATGATCCTTTAATTGTATCAGTAAAACAATGGACTCCATACATTTTTTTTCAGTAATAATAATATTATAATATTTCACTTATTCTTTTTTTTCAATTGTAATCAATATTATAGTGTTATCTATCAAACAACGTTTTATTATGATTATAAGTAATAATTGAATGTCTAAATTTGTTTATTAACGTAATAATAAGTTGCATATATATATATATATATGGGAGTTAGGATAATCGGATTTGAGTAGTATGTCGTGTCGCCGGATCCTCGATCCTCGCTCTCGTTTTTCCGACTAGGTAAACTCGTAATAGTTCAAGTATATCACGTTGACGTGTTTACGTGCAGGCGTAACAAATTCTAGGAAGTCTTTTCATTGTTTTACCTGTTTATCATGTTAGCTGATATATATATATATATATATATATATATATATATATATATATATATATATATATATATTGAAAAAAAAAATACATGTCTCTGTTTGCTTCCATTGGAAGTGTTTACATGCATAACTTAAACAACGTTTACAGTGACTCATTACTGAATTCCAAATATAGTCTGTTTATCGAATCGCGTCTGTCAGTCAGTTAAATAATATTATTATTATTACTACTACTACTACTAAATAAACATTGAATGGTTATGTAAAAAAATAGATTACCTTATTTATGTGTTATGTAACCGAAACTAGTAAAACACAACTACATTCATCCAGTAATCATGTGATATTTAAAATAGATTATGAAAATTCAATGTATCAATTTGGTTTTATGCACACACACACACACACACACACACAAACAATGGATTTTATTTGTTTTATTCACCAAGAACCATATCAACATGTATAAGCATATAATCAGTCGTGATGGTTTCTGGTCTCAAGGATATATGAAATTGAGAATAAGTGGTTCAGTGATAGAGAGTATGCTTTGCGGACAATGTTTACTGACTCTTAGAATGGCTGGCTGTAGGTAAAGTCAATTTTTTTAGCTCAACAGGATGCAGTCCAAAAAAAATGAACAACACATCTCAAGGAAAGCATAGAGTACAATGGACGATCCCAGGTCTCACAGATCACTTAGCTCTTCCATCCTACAGGCAACAGCAAATGCTTGTGAAGATGGCCAGTAAGGCATAATAGCCTGTGCAGCAATCGACCTCAACATTCATGAGGAAAAACATCGGATCCTAGATTGCAATATAGCATGCATCAACTAAACCACATTTGGATTGGAAGATGTAGAAACTTCTATGTATTTGGGCAGAGCATCATTGGCAGACAACAGGGATCTGATGCAGATGTGAAGGCATGTATCAGCAAAACAAAGGCAGCATTTCTACAACTGAAGTTCAGTTAAGACTCAAGACAACTGTCAACCAACACGAAAGTTAGGAATTTCAATGCTGACGTCAAAATAGTTTCTGTTGTTGATTGGACAGTGCTGGTCGGCTGTCTCTATGCCTGATTAGGAGTAACAGGCACAAGTAAGTAATTACGAACAGTTTACTGCTAGAAACCCTGTTTATTACTAAGTTTGATATTTCGGCTAATTCGGATGGAGATATCATCACACGTAACCGTATGCAGCCAAGTATATCCAGAATCGAGGTTACCTCACAATGCATTACTTATTGAACAAAAAAGACTTTGAGAAACGGCATGTTTCGTATAATTTTACCCTTTTTGTTGTATATTTGTATAGCTTACACATCCCCTACTTTGATTGTCAGAATGTTTAAGGTGAAACTATATTCTCTATAATTTTATCATTATGTGCAATGCACAATACATTTTTTTTAAACGGCTTCATTGTGATTGGCTAACATCTGGTGAATGACCTCAAGACTACTACTATGATTGCTTCAGTCTGTCAGTATAGTTTATCTCTGATAGTGTTTTTTTTATTTTAGCTATTCAATACATAAACTACTTGACTTCTCTTTTAGGCATAAAAATATTATGCATGTTATCAATTGTATATGTTAATTTTTCTCGTCTCTGTCTCTCTCTCTCACACACACTACATAGTTCACTACTGGAATAATACGAACGGATGTACGATCGACCAAGGAGAATGCTGTCCAGGCATGTATTACACATTTAACAAATCTAGTCAAACAGATTGAATTTACTGTGTAACAAACAGCATGTTTATACCATTGAATACATGTATGTGTGTATGTGTATGTATTATTCACTGTTCCTTCTGCGTCTTCTTGTATGTTGATTTTTTTTCTTCAATATGCTTTATTCTTATCCACATTGTCGACATTCTCCTCTGTTGTGATTTAAGTTGTGTTTTGTTTTTTTCTAATTTCACTACTACTCTGCGTTGTTGTGCATTGTTATTTTTCCTATAGAACAATCTTGTTTTATGGGGCGGCGATAACTTTTAATACATGAATAACATATGTATCATTTTCATTTTATACAGATATATATACATATATATATATATATATATATATATATATATATATATAATTTGTCTATCACCGATTCTTGGCTAACTGTGATCTTCAGTGGTTTACTCATGATGGATCCCTGATTGTTTGTATTATTACATGTAGTAGTAGTTTTGTTGTATCAAATTGTCCTTGTTATATACATATACACATATACATATGTCTTTCAGATATATTTATATATTACATAATGTATATTTTATTTGGTCTTTGACAATAAATAATATTACCAACACTACTAACGTGAGGTCGGTTTCTATTTTATTTTTTTTTTACACACTATTCCTGATTTCTTAAAAGTTTGTCTAATTCCTTTATTGTTCTGTGATTGATAATCATCAATATACATACATATATATATATATATATATATATATATATATATATATATATATATATATATATATATATATTGTTTCTTTTGGAATATCAACCATCAAAAAAGTAGGAAAATCATGATGCTCTTCCGTTTCGTCTGTCTGTCCGTCCGTCCCTCCGTGTGTTTGTTATCTATCTGTATGGTGTGTTACTTGAGTTTATTTTGTTTTTTGTTTTTGTATACGAAACCCCATTTCATACTTGTTGTTTACTTTTGGTCTTCGAATAATAATAATAATAACGATTTCATGCTTTTGAGCATTTTGATGATTATACAATGTAATATTATTGATATTGTCAAGAGTTTTTATATTATATTATACTAATTGGATGGATACAATCAATATATTTATTGCAAAAAAAACTTTATTCATCATGATTGTGAAGGAGAACAAATTTAAAAAGTGTTCAAAAAAAAAAAATGAAATCTTTTGTAATATGATATAAAAATATAGAAAAAAGAATTTTTTTTCTTTATTTTTGAAAAAATGAGTAACTTATACGTTATATGCGTTCATATTACTAGTATGTTTTACAATGGCAAGTAAGTCAATCGATGAAATTTAATCAGCACAAAAGGATTATAGATGAATATGATAAATTGGTTCATACAGCAACTACTACTCCTTTAATCAAGTTTTATTTCATGTTCAAATTGATGATAATCAAAAATGAGAATAGTTTAGTTAGAGAGACATGCTTATTTTGATAAGTTCATTGATGTTTGTAAATGATAGAACTTAACCAACTTGATTTAATGTATGTCTGGTGCCAGATGAAAAGAACGTGAATCGAAAGAAAACAGAGTTCTGAACAGTAGGATATAATCAATCAGTTAGTTACAACGTAGAACATCGTACGTAAGTACATCATTTCAGTTTGCCATACCACATTAGCATAGAGACGCAATTGTCAATTCAAATCCTATAGTAGTAGAGTTATTAGCGGTAATGGAGAAGATTAGAGTTCGAAGATATTATTCAAGAAGTATAATTCAGTGAGATAAGATTAGCAAGATAGACGTGATGAGGAATTCAGAAGATTAGAATTTCATAGAACATAGAGTTTAAATGCACCTGTGTCATTGCAAACGATTGTCAGCCATGTTATTCAAGGTCTCTAACCATCGGTGACTTTCGTCTCGCAGACCCCAAACAGGTAGCCTACATCTACTATCATGACTCAATCCACTTGTCAGTGAATTCATGGATTTCTGCCATGTTTTGGTTTGGCCGTCCCTAGCTTTCACCCAACCTATACCTATATCGCAAAACATCGCTCGTCGAGGCAGTCGGTGGTTAGGCATACGCAGCACATGTCCCAACCACTTCAACTGATGAAGTTTCATTACTTCATCTTTTGATTTGCCATCCCTAACCAGTATTCGTTTTCAAACAGCATTCCTTACTCGGTTGTCCCAGGATATACGAGCAATGCTTCCGAGACACCTATGATCGAAGACAAGCAACCTACGAATGTCCTCTACTCTCACCGGCCATGTTTCGCATCCGTGTAGTAGGACGGAGCACATTGCTGTGCAGTACGCTTGTCCTTTTGTTAGCCTACGCCATAAGTGACGTAGGTTGGCAAAAGCCAATCGAGCCTTCTGTATCCGTGCTGAGATTTCATCAGTCACGAGGCCATCAGCACTGATGAGACTCCGGAGATAAGTGAGGTGGTCAACACGCTCGTCTACTTCACTCCCTATCACTGGTTCAGGTGCCGAAGCAATCCAATCTCGAAGCATCATTTTACATTTCGAGGGGGGAAACCGCGTCCCGAACTTGCTCCATTGTTGCTTAGGGTAATGTCTATGACAAAATTGAACAAGAATGGGGAAAGTGGGCAGCCCTGACGCGCACCACTTGAAGTAGAGAATTCCAATGACAGTGTGCCATAGGCTCTAACGACCTGTAGTGTTCGAGTAGAGAGCTTGTATAATAAGGTTAATGTACTTCTCGGGTACACCTGATGACAGACACTGCTACAGAACATCACGATCAACAGAGTCAAATGCCGCCTTAAGGTCCAGGAATTCGATTGTCTGACGCCTAAATGTGTGTGCGTTCCAGGACCTGTCGTATTGTAGAAATGTGGTCTATACAGCCACGTCCAGATCGAAAGCCGGCCTGGTTTTCCCTAATCTGCTTTCCACAAGCTATAGTTAGGCGTTTGGAGTATTATTGAGGCCGATATTTTAGGATCTATATTGGTTAGACTTATTCCCCTGTGATCGTCACAATAATACTTGTCCTTTCTCATAAAATGGGACAAGGATTGAGACCAGTCGGGTGGGATTGTGTCCAGTTACCAGATTCTACTTAAGATCTTAGTCAATCCAACTGCTAAAACTGGACCGCCATCCTTAAACATCTCAGGGGCCAATCTATCAGGTCCTGCTGCTCTCCCCCGCTCCATATTTCTTTTAGGCTTTTCAGTTTCATAAAGATTCGGAGGGCTTACCTTGACCTGCCATTCAGGGTGACTGGAGATCGTTGGTAACCGAAGCGTGGCTGAAGGCCAGTTGAACTGATCCCTGAAGTGTTTACCCCGCCGACCCAGTCTCCTGGGTTGAAAATGGATGAAATGTCTTGTCAGGTGGCGGATATCATTGGTTAGACGATAGCGGTGCCTCTCAAGATAAAATAGCTATTTAGATCTTAGATCTGCTGCTGTCTGTTTCGTATCGATGAGTGTTAGACAACAGTGCCATTTTCACAAGAAAATCTCATGGAAACTACTAGATCCGATCAAATCTGCTTACAGTAAACTGGACGTGATCTTAACAAGTATTTGTAGATGGCTTCAATTGCTTGAAATAAGATTCAAGAATAAACTACACTAGTTTACAGCACTCACTCATTGAATGAACAGAAAATAGCTCAAGGTATCGAATACATTGTTCATATCCTCAGGACTTCCCAATATTCTTTTCACACCGATTATCAAGTTAAAAACAGATTATTGTGGAAACTCTCTTCAAAAAGTAACGAATATATATCGGAGTAGTAGTAGTAATGATAACAATGCCACCAACGAATATTCATAAATAGGTGTATTGCCTAAAACTTGCACTTATGTACGGATTTTCTATGTTGTTGGCTTATTTCACTTGAAATCTTTTCTTGATTGTACTGCCTTGCTAATGCAACTGTCGAACCCTCCTTTCCCTGCTAACATCCAATTACACTATGATAATACTCAGATCGCCATACGGCTCCTTTCCAACAGATATGAATAACTTCATACATTTACTTCCATTCGCTCTGTTCAAAAATGAATGAAGTTACACTTGTTCATCTTCGTTTACCTAGATGCATTTCTTACTCAAAAATCGTCCATTTTTCGGAAAACACGTACAGAAAATCGATATACTTTAATTCGGTTGAAGCTGACATCAGTTTGAAATAAAACTAAACTTCACACGATAGCTGTTTGGAGAAAATACCAAACGCACGCGAGTCGATTTTCATCAGCCAGGCAATTACTCACATTTGAAATTGTACATTGGACACCATGCTACAATACACGTTTCTAGAATCCAGAAACAGCGCTCAATGGAGTCAAACCATTCGTTTTGCAGTATCACTGACATTAAACTATATTGGCTAGACAATTAACAACTGATTCATGAGTGAATAGATGATTTTCCCTCTAACTGGTAACCTAGTGTTTAGCACTGTAACACATATAGGCCCTCTTACGACTATCTAGTTGAGCTGCTTAATTCCTACATGACTATCCACTTTTGTTTAGACCGTATCGGTTGTTAATTTGTAAATGTACGTTATCACCGGATTAACGTCAATCGAACACACACATACATAGTTGTCTTCAATAATGACGAATAAGTCAAGGTTCGATGACATGAAAAAAAGTTTTTCAACAACCAAAAAATAGAAGACTCAGCTTCGAAATTATGAATGAGAATTTGTCATATTATCGGTTACTTTGGTCGTATTACAGTTCAAAGATTATTAATAAAGTGAGTTGTGACGTGTGACTTTATTGTCGTAGGATCACATGCTACAAGTTAATGTGCGTGTTAAAAATACTTCAATGTGCCTGGATAAATTTTAATGAGAACTTACAAAATGATACCACCTAAATGCAGTCCTATCAATACAACACTAGCACAAACACAAAATTTAAATCAATACACAATAAGTTAGTACTCCAAACTAATGCACAAAACCTCTCTTGTTAGTTACATATTCTGTGGGAGAAAAACAGTTGAAATGCTGCTTTACAATCTCATGTATTAAGGAGAACCTGTGAGAGAATAGTCATATTAAAAACACCAAGGCAAATTAACTAACAAATTCAAAACCAGCAAGCGGACAAATTGTAAGTTATCAAACTTGGTTTCTAGATGCATTTGAGAACACATATTGTGGGATGTGTCAAGTACAGAAAGTAAACCAATGTGTATGAAGGTATCTGTAGTATTTGCGTTGTTCAATCAAGGCGATAATTCCACTGTTGATATTAACTTGTTCTACGTGGATTAACTGCTGCAGAACCTCTTCCGCCCATACTTCCATTCCCCAATCCACCACGTCCACCTCGGCCGCCACCACCGCCACCACCACGAGAAGGCCCACCGAAGCCCGAACCTTTAGGTGCATTTCCTCTTGGAGCAACGCGGCTCTGTGTAAAAACGAGAATAATGTACAGTTAATCATATTAAATTGATTGAGGAATAGTAACTCCGACACTACAATAATAACTGGATTGTATTACTACCACATTCAGTCCAAAAATGTCATTCAGTTCCTTTTTACCAATGAGCTAAAAAACTTCGATAGCTTATTAATCAATACGATCTGAGGATATAAGCAGTGTGGCAAAACAAATACACATATACTATCGATATACATGACATCAAAACATCGTTAATTAACTCAATGCACACACTTTGGAAGCCAATTATACAGATGATAGAAATATTATAAAGGGAGCAATTGACTATAATTGCAGTAGTGAAATGGTCTGTATGATCAATAATAGCATTCCTGCGATTATGGCTTTCCTTGAAACCGGGTTTTTTTTTAATTTACTGAATGCTAGTGGTAAACGCCAACCTCAAGCTTTATTGTCATTAAGCGATAAACAATATGAACCGTGAAGATTTAGCATCGCATGCTGGAAGGACGAACGTAATTGGATAATGTATTAATCTTAAATGTACACCTTGTGAACAAAACAAAACTGAGATCTCAATCACACGTATTACATTCTAAATGTATCTGAATGGACCATGGGCCATCTCACACTAGCTTAACATACAGATAAATGGTCAATGAACAGGAGACCCGAACACTTCTACAGGATAACCTTGGTATATCAGGGTTCAGTAGCATTAGTAACTGTACTGTAGAGATATAAATGATGCGAGGCTTTCGTCAAAGCAATGATAAAGTGAAATCAGAAGTACCATTGTTTCTGAATTGAACCAAATAAAAATTGAAGTATTAATAGTATATGTACTCACATCTTGTGCGTAATTCATTTCTGAAATGCCCCGTGAATCACCACCTTGCTGGCGTGACCCCATACTGCGAACCCTAAAAAAAATGTACGTCAGAGAGTATTTCGGTAAATCTTTTGCTCCAGAAACACGCTTGGTAAACAGGTAAATTTGCAAAAATCAATAGTTCAGTACATCTATAATTATTTTTATCATCAAGATTCGGACTTATAACCCGATGGTTGAATTGAATGAATGTGCTATAATACCTCAAATGCTTTGTTTACTATGCTGTCCATACAGCAAAAGATAACACCAATTTAACACTAACGGCTGATTTACTCGTTAAGTTCGCCACCCAGCATAAGATAAAACCTCTTGTAAAAGGAATCCATAAATCTCTTTTTCAATCAGTCTAGGTAATGTTTGGTAATCCCTACATAATTTATGAAACACGCTAGACGAAAGAAAATCACGTCCGTACTTACAGGCATATTCCACAACCAATTTCAGGATGCTTTTTAAAACACAGAAGCATATCGACTTATTGATAGAGGATTAACTTTGAAAAAATAGCAAAGGATGCATGAATTCGCTGAGTCTTGCTAAATTATGGCTACTGAAAGACTTGGATGCAGGTTCTACGCTGATTATGATATACTGATCTAATCTTTGCATTCAGATTAACTAGTTAGCAACAACGTAGAACTTCGTACGTACGTACATCAGTCCAAGTTGCCATACCATATTAGCACACAGATCCAGTTGTCAATTCAAATCCCATAGTGGTAGAAGTATGAGCAGTAATCGGAGAGATTAGGGTTCGAAGATATTATTTTTTAGACGCATAATCCAGTGAAATAAATATGAGAAGATAAAGATGGAAGCTTTAAGGAATTCACATAATTTAAATTTGAGAAGACAAAAAACGGATGCACCTGTGCCATTGCAAACGATTTTGAACCATATCATTCAAGGTCGCTAACCGTCTGTTACTAACGCCTCGCGGACCCCAACCAGGTAGTTTACACTTACCAACATAGCTCAGTCCACTAGTCAGTGACTTCATGGATTTGTGTCATGTTTTAGTTTGGCCACTCCTAGCTTGTTTCCGACTTACTCCTACACCACAAAACATCTATCGTCGAGGCTTACGTAAAGCATGTCCGAACCACCTTAACTGGTGAAGTTTCTATACTTCATCAATTGATTTGCCATCCGCACCTAGTACTCTTTTCCTAACAACAGCAATTCTTACCCGATTGTTCCAAGATATACGAGCAAAGCTTTGAAGACACATATGGTCGAATACTAATAGCCTACGAATATCCTCTACTCTTACTGGCTATGTTTCGGCCATAGAGTAGGATTGAGCGAACTGCTGCGCAGTGAGCCCTAACTGTGATTGGTAGACGGATATCTCGGTTACGCTAAAAATGACGCAAATTGGAGAAAGCCAGTCGATATCCATGCCGAGATTTCGTCAGACACCAGGCCATCAGCGCTGATGAGACTCTCAAGATAAGTGAAAACAAACATTGCCACAGTAGCATTTTGCATCCTGATGATTCTTTGTATGTGACCAGGCCCTACGAAAAAAACGCGCTTAATGTGAGTTTCATATCCATCCGCTTCTTTTTAATAGCACAAACACACATGAAAACCGCTAGGTAATCCATAATTCAATCCCCTAAAATATAAATTTTTTCGTCTTTGGTTCCTACTGTAACCACGGAGTGATGGTCTGCATCAACGCCCACAGTGATAAGAGAGAATGAAGCAGATGAGTGAGTTGCTCACGTCACTTAGTATAAAGGTTACATGAGCCCTAGTGGCAGAAAATTTTCTAGTTTCAGTAGTTCTCAAAACGTACCTTCTATTAAAGAACTATTCATTTATACTCATATGTTAAGCATTTAGTTAATGCTACTTCGCTGCGCTGTAGTGAAGCGGGTTAGGTCGAGTCTAGTGTTGATTATAATTTATTGGCTTATCTTAAGTAATGGTTTCATTAATGATTGACAAAGTAAAGAAAATTAATCGACCTAAATACGACACTCGATTTCACTGGTTTTAAAATGTCGTCAACCTCATTAAGGTACGTAGATAATTAATTAGAATTTCGACGAAATATTTGGCATGATCACCGATAAAGAAGAGAGAAATGACTTTTACCAGAAATTTTTCAGGATATGTATTCATGTGGCATTAAATTTGGTGAATAAAGTTGGACTTAAAATATTTTTGCTGTTTTCAGAACTTATATGGGTGTTTAATATGAAAACATGAGACAGAACATTACAGTTTTACGTAAGCCGCTGCAAAACTACCTACAAATTTGTATTCGCAAATACTACGTACTTCATTTTTTGTTACCTTATATTAGATCGAAATACATTGTGCTAGATCAAAATGAGTGTGCTAATAAATAGGTTAAGGACATTTATGCTAAAGAAAGAACGGATGAAGACTGGTTAGTGGTAGATTAAACTGTATTGTGTACATGCATTAGAACTTGAAAAGGATAGGCCGGTGAGATCGTGTTCGTCTGGAACGTAGCGGAATACTCAATAATACTAATACGACCATAACATGACATCGATGCAACACCAAACTTAACAACGTGAAGATCTCCTTAACAACTTTAAATGCTTCTTGCTCGTAGAGTAATTAGCAAGCTGAAGAGCGAATCCCAGTTACAATAAAAAGACCGGAATGTTCACAAAATAACTTGCTGTCGGTATGAATAATGGAGGTGACCGTCTTAAAATGACTCGGTACAGTTGAGGGTTGGAAAACTACTCTGGCTTTCGGAAAGCTCTATTAAGGCCACGCTTATATAGTTATTGTCAGAAGACACTACTTACTGCCATTCCACCGTATAGGTGCTTCTCACGAAATCGAGGACGAAAAGCGAATGTCTGACGCTTAAACCGGGTTGGTGGGTACAAAGGGTCTAACCAGGGGAGTTGAAAAACCCAAACTTTAAACATATAGTGTATACTTGCTCCACAAACCTGAGTGAACCTACAAGCTTATTGTTGATTACCAGTTACCAAAGGACTGCATCTAATGTTGTTCTACCTCTTTCCATAGTAACCCCCCCCCAGGCCAAAGACTACTTAAAACCACTTACTCCGGCTTAGGGCAACCGTGGAGTATCCAAACTAACGTACATATTTAAAGGTTTGTGTGACACAGAAATACTTAGGTACTCCTTAGTACCAAGTTTCATGTGTTTAAATAAGTATAGATGTTTATTTTGGATGGAAAACTGTACAGTAAATGCAAAACGTAAGCAGACTTTATTGATCCCTCCTGTTTCCGAAGAACACAGTGAAGTCGTTTCCGGATTTTTCTTTAAGTCTTGATGTGCAGAAACTAGCCAACTCGACTTTCCAGAGGATATTATAACCAACATTCGAGTCGTAAAACACCTTTAATTTATAGAAACTATATTTTACATACGGTTTTATGAGACTAAACAAACTGACAGACATCAATTCAGAACCTGACACATATGTGCATCAAGACAGAATTAACGTCACGATCGATTAAAGGCGGTCCAGATTGGTATAAACAGCTTGATTTCATTTCAGAACTAATATCACCATACTTCTCATCACATCAGTCAAAACGAAGACTTTCTTCATGACCTTTTCTTATATTCGGTTGAAGTTTAGGTAATTGCAGGACTAATCAGCTCTTTCTGATCTAAATGATCTAGAACAATTAAAAATGGTCAGCATATACCTTCGGTTAGACAATGATAACCAATATACACCCGAATACAGATGTAGGTCAACCTAAACCGACAAATACCAGCAGTCGAAGTTGAAAAGATGACTTTCGAGTGTCGAGATGATTGTAGTACCAACAATTGTGAGAAATACAAAGTAATATACAATACGGTTTAGGGAAAAATAAGCTAAATGAGTAAAAAATAGAGAACAGAAAGCCCGATACTTATATGAGAACGGATTCACCCCACTGAGGTCGATTATAATCCTCCAACCCATCGTCTAGTACAGACTAAGGCGTCATCGCACAGTTTTTTACATATTAACACTGTCTAAGTCACTGGGTATTTAAGTTTACCAGGCATTATAATTTTTAACCTATCCATGAAACCGTTAATACTGTGTTGTATAGACATAAGTAATTCGAATGCACTTTGTTCACAAAACGTGTTTTTAGCGACAGATGTTAATTCACGACAAGAAGACAGATTATTCCTTTCTCTTATTAGCACTCCGAAGCTTGGAGAATAAAACAAGCTACGTTATAGAGTAACAGCTGGCTCGTATCATAATTTATTCGAGCAGCTAAAATAGAAACTACAATATCTACCCGAACTTGACCGGAAATGCTGGTAGGGAATAGACTGAGTATTTTGAAATGTATTTTTTGAGAAAAAGCTGCCAGCAAGTTGACTGATCTGACCAGTATTCATTAAGACATTAAATCAAAACTAAGTGAAGAGAAATATTGAAGCACAGATCTAGTGGCGCTAAGACGTGAGTGAAATTCGTTATGACTGAGGTTGGTTTATTTTTGCTCCGAATTATTGTAAATCATGACTGACTGACTGATGTCAACGAACTTTCCTAAACAAGACGAAGGAAGCGTTAGTGTTCTTCTAGCAGAAATGAACGACTGGCAAATGTATGAAGACTACCCTCACATCCATAAAAAAACCAAACGTACCTTTGAGAACCATCTGCAGACTGGCGCAGACCAACTCTGTGGCGTTCGTCTGTGTCATAATCAGAAACATTGGTGTTAGTCCTCGACACTTTGTGTGCTTGTGCAGCATGAGGCTGTTGAGATGCCATTTCTGCCCAGCTGCGAGGCCCAGGTTGAACAGATGAATGCGGTGGACTGACAGGATGAGACTGGTTCACGAGTTCCTGCTGGACAGTTGGTGAAGCGGAAGAATGTGGCACTGTGTGATCTACTGTCAAGTGGTCTTGCTTAACCTCTGGATTGCGAGTCTGAATCTCATCGACGGTTTGTTTATAGTCTCCTTTCGATAAACCGTCCCAATTGTGTGCGTGATCCTATACGAAAATAGCTGTAGTCTGAATGAACAACGTACTTACGTCTCTTGCTGAGTGAGGCACCGAGCAGTGTGATACACCTTTAGATGGGCTATATTCATCTACTTTTGTCGAATGGTCATCTGAAGTAGAAGCTATGAGATAAAAAAAACCTCACTGTTAGTCTCCACATTAGTTTTCAAATCACCATATACGTAATCTTGATAACGAAATATGTCATTTAATACATAGAAGTCGCATGGGGCCTGCTCCCTCAGAATGAAGCACTGAGTAAACCGTCTAAATTCTTCATTAGCTATACTTATTTCACCAGCAACCTGATTGATATAAGTGAGGTTAAAGAACTTACATGAATTAGTACGCTATTGCCATTGGCACGTAGTGCGTCTAGCTTTAGGATCGCAATTTGTGAGTCCCGAAGATTCATACTCATAATTTTCTCATGAATCATCCTCTGACCACAGACTGGAGTGTCCTCCCGTATCATGGAAGAATCGTCCTTATAGAAACGATGGATTCCAGATGGACACTTCTTCATAACGGTGTAGTATTGCACAACAAACTGACCAGCAAGACTCAAAATGTCTGATGGCTCCATCCGTACGACAGTAAATGCAGAGTCCGGGCTGGCGTTGTTTTCAACTACAGAAACCATGGTTGAACTTCGACTTGTCCTCAAACGAATCACGACGCAATCCCACAGAGTCCGGCGCTCGATTTTTAAGTGAATTTAAACAAAACGTAGAAGAAAATTCAAGGGCTGAAAAATTCATGTGAATTACATTAAAATAAGGAGTTGAATGTTTCAACCTATCACTTTTGTCCTAAGTTGTGTATTCCTGAGAAGCATCATCAGTTTTCGTGAGATACTTTTAGAGTAGATGGGAACTGAAAATTTTAATTACTAACATTTTGTTTCAGTCAGTTGCTACCTCAGGATAGTGTTATATTAGGCATTACGAAAGAATGCCTTTTAGATACTAACTTAGCTGCCGCAGTAATTAGATCGTTGCAGCACATGACGTGAATACATCATTTCTGAATAATCCTAAACGATATCTTCGATGTACTTTAAATGATGCATTACCCTTTTCACCCACTACAGAGTCAGAAGTCCCCAAAATAAGGACGAAAATAAGAACCTACTAAGGTTCCATTATGGTCACCAAAACCACCACGATCTAAGTAAGTACGAGCTAATGGTTATTATTAGTTAAGTCAGGAAAACTAGAGAGTTATACTAAAGTTATTCACTGTCGCCTACGTGTCAATAACTTCATCATTGGTTTACCTGACTCCTTCTGTCGTAAAAGTCAGTACCATAATTTCTATGAACATTTGAAGAACACATTCCAGTTAGTGACAAATAGTAAATTTGATATAAAAACTAATTGTTTATATGAAGTAGGCGAACGAAACGTGCTAAAATGAAAACTGCTTTATGTGCATATAAGTACCATCAGATAGCTAGGCTGTAGTGTGCGTACTCTTATGTCGAGCTCACAGGGCTTCAGACAAATAGACTAATCCATTCTTCCAGAGTTATTTTTCACTCGTCTTCGACCTTGTCCACCACTCACTCATATCCTTAGTTGTTTTTATCTGCGTGTGCCGCTTACTTCACTTGTCACATGTTCTGCTTATTTTTATCTGATTATAAATGCTTATTCATGCCTCTTTATATTGACTTGGCTCGCTCGCTTTCTCCACTTCGCTTCGCTTTGGAGATGAAAGTGAGGCTTTCAACTATAGATGTAGTCATTCTATCAAACCGTTACTTTGTGTATGGTAAAGGGTTGCCCAGAGGTGTGTGACCACTAGAAATACAGCAATATGACCGAAAGTCCAGATTCCAACTGGGAAAGCACGTTTTGTAGGATAGTTGAAAGGCGAACGGAGTTTGCTACTTTTCGCTCAATGAAGGCGTGGGCCGCAGCTTCAACAGAAATATTCTGAACAGTCACTGCTTCTGAAAACAATGTCAGACGACTCACACATTTCAAGAGGTAAGAATATTCGTTTGATCCCGCTTAGGATTACACCACGTGAATATGAATACGGTTTGAGTGAGCACCATGTGTTGAGAAAGTACCTAACGGACATTTGTTATGCTTAATTACCTTAGATTTCTGGCAGCTAAAAAGAAGCGTACCCTCTCTCCCATATTTCGTTCATACAATGACAGTAAAATAGTTTTATCAACAGCTTGATAGTTTTTGAGACAATGTATGGGGTTCGTGTAACGTATTGAAGATCTTGAGTCGGTAATGTTTAGGCATGACTGGATAATCCCTACCTGTCAGTGAGTCGCTAGGCAAACACTACCGGCGATAGAGTTTCTATGATGATGAACTAACAGGAAAGTTTAGAACCCCGAAGTTTGAGAAAAGGCAGAACACCTGTCTTTTCACGGAGAGTTAAAAGTGTCGGACAGCGCAAACAATCAGGCATCCGTGTCGAGGCGTGACAACACAGTTGACAAAGCGATACGTTCTTTCACTGTGGAAAAATTCTTCATTTACAGTGTCGTTTAAATTAATATTTTTCTCATTTTCATGTCGTTGGTCGGTTAAGGGTCTTGTGAGAGACACGAAACGAGAGACAAAACGTTTGTAAAAACTTACCAGTCAATTGAACTTGTGTCTTTGCTTGACTGTGGGCAATTTAGAATGGTCTTTATCTTTTTTTTCTAAAGGGCAAATATCTTGTGCATTATAATCTTACTCTAGAAAGTCGATAGAAGCTGTAGCAACTTGACATTTTTGTATGTTAACAGTAATGCCATGTTTCAGAACGCATTGGAAAACAAGATCTAGATGTTGAGGTTGAGATCACCAGTGATGAACTGCAATCGGACAGTTATTTACATAATTATGCATAAATTCAAGACCTCTAGAAGCGTCATCAATGAGTCTGTAAGAAATCCTAGCCTAATTTATCAAACCCAAAACTATTTACACCTAAAGACCACCCCCTAGAGTTCTCCAACCAACTTTTCCTTAGCGTTCCATTCCAGTCCTACGCAACTGCTTTTTATCCTTCCATGTCGGTCAACCATTCTCAGCACAATGTTCCTTTGTTTACTCTTTCCCTTTGGTATTGAGGGCTCCTGGATGATGACGCATTGGGTGATTCCCGCAATGTATATCCTATCCACTTCCAGAGCTTCCCGTAACTTCTGACTCAGAACAAACCTGCTTAGTTTTCTGCCTTAGTAGTTTGTTGCTGATGATGTCTGTCTAGGAATAAGCAGAATCTTGAGTATATAATGTATCAAGTCGATTAATTTCCGTATATCTTCGTTTTTTATTTCTGCTAGTGCCTTGGCTTTCTCCGCTCTTGTTCGGTTGTCATTGATTTATGTCTTCCTCTCTTGAATCTTATCTAGAATATCAACAGATATCCACTCCTTGTGATGGTGCTTTTTTGGCCCACAACCGCATGAAATGCTGAAGTTATGGCTTCTCTAATCCCTTTCCATTTATCCGTGTTGGTTGTTTTCTCTTCATTCAGTAGATTGTGGAATGCCTGGGACTTACGGTTTAGGGCCATCTGGAACCCGCTGTTTACTGATATCATAGACAGAGTGTGTATCCAACTGCTGCTTTTACAGTGCTTCCTTAATTTCAGTTTCATTGTGGCTACAACCAGATGGTAATCTAAAGCTATTTCAGTTTCTTCCTTTTTTGCGTCTTCCATGGACTTTCGAGACGTGTTATTGATGCAGATATGATCGATCTGGTTCTCCTAAGTGTGGTCCTATGAAATTCATTCCGCTCTGTATATGGGTTTCTGAGTAAAAATTGTGTCATGTATGAGGATCTGATCAACAAACAAAGATTTTCCAGTCCTCACCATTTCCGTATCTTTCACTAAGTACATATTACCCAACGAAGCGTACAAGACCGGTGTTGTCGATTACGATCTCCGTGTTTAAGTCTTTCATCAAAATGTCAGATGTTTTACTGTGAAGTTCTCTATGGTGGACTGCAGCCGCCATAAAACTCGTCTTTATCATATTTACTGTTATTGTCTGTGTGCCCGTAGCACTGAATAGTTCGTTAATATTATCTTTCGTTATTTTGAAAGATGCTTCAGTGGGCTTAGATCCATGGGTTGCCCATCTTGTAAGCGCTTTTCGTGCTTCTTTGGATAGAATCAATCCAACGCTTTGTGTACGTGAGGCATTTCCTTCATCAAGAGAATACAACAACAGATTTCTTGAAGTTATTCATCTTTCTTCAGTCTATGTTCAACTGGTAGCACTTGTTTCATACACGAGCGGGTTATACTTTTGCATTTAAGTAGTTGTTTTAATTACCTTCCTTGCTTCCTACATGGTCCGAACATTCTGTGTACCTATGTTTATATTTATTCTGGTTATCTGAAGGGACACTAAACTCGTGGCTTCTGAAGAATCTTGACTTTTATAATAAGTCATAACTTTTAACAATAAAGACCCTTCAACTACCAGGATATAGGTTAAACTCGTTTAACCGACTTAATCTGGTTATCTATATTTTGGTGAGATGTTTTTTATACGAAACTTGCCAACCCTATGCACATCCCTTCCTAGCTCCTATTTAAGACCGATATTAACCCCAAGAGCATTTTAAATGAAGTCATACATTTCTCTATGGCATACTATCAATGCATTTGAAAGTAACAACAGTAGAATTGGCTTTGTAATGATAATCATTTATATTATTTATACATATTCCAAATAATTAAAATAATATTGCATTACAACATAAAAGTATCAAGTAGATTATTCTGCAATAGATGTAATATGTAAATAATACTGATTCATCATCGTAAACCAATCACAATAACATGAAATTTAAAAATGAAGAACACAATTCTAAAGTGTATAAAACAAATTAATTTTTTCCATTTTTAGCTCATTTTAATTAAAATTTAATGAGTTAGTTATTGAAAGAAAGAAAAAAAATTCATAATTCAATAAGTAGGTGGTATACAGTTTACTTCAAAATAAAATGAAATTATTGAAAGTAGGAAAATTTTAGTAAATATATGATTATTTATAACAACCATATCAAAGTTTGTGAAGACAATGATTTTATTTTCAATTCATCAATATAAATCAATAAAAATTCAAAAGAAATACAATAAATACAATCAAGTAACATTTTAAATAAATAACTAATAAATAACAAGTTTATAGAGAGAGAGTGTGTGTGTGTGTGTATCACAAAGAATATATAAGTTAATTTTGTTTTAATGAATCAATTAGATGATATTTAACATGCTAAAAACTAACAACAACAACAAGAAGAAGAAGAAAAATGAAATAAGTTTGATCTAAAATGGTCATGAATAAATAGATTTCAAAATAAATGAATAAATATACCCAATACATAAATTATTCGTTTCCAAAAACGAACATTCAATTTCCAAAGATAAAATCTTTAAATGCACATCCATAATACTCATGTCAGCTTCAATAGGTAGTGAAACGAGGTATGGTAGTAGCTGTGTTACGATAAATATTTTGATTGCCAATTATCAATGGTGTAGTTAAACCAGGTGCAGGGATAGTAAGATTTGGCATAGATGGAATGATTGGCCAAAAATTTGTTAAACAATTAGTTGAACCAAATCCAAGCAGATTAGAATTGTTTGATAAAGATGATGTTTGTTGTTGTTGTTGTGGTTGTTGTGTTGGGACATTGGCAAATAAATCAGTCAATACACCGGCGGCGGCGGCGGCAGCAGCAGCAGCAGGACCAGTACCATTTAGATAACATGAATTAGAATTATTATAAGGAATTGTAGTGAATGGAGTTAATCCAATAGTGAATGGATTCAAAGAGGATATAGCAACATTCATTAGATTATTGGTATCTGTAGGTGTAGTAACGCCAGGTGTTGCAAAAACAGGAGTTAAATTTGAAATACCACCACTCTTTGAAGTATTGATTGAATTAGAAAGATTTTGTCTTTTAGAAAAAGAAATTTTTAGAGAAAAAAAATCAACAATAAGCAAAAATAATACCATGATTAAAGAAACTACGTTTGTTTTTTGCTCATCAAATCAGTGGTTGTCGATTGAGCTTAGTATGAATAGTGTTTACTATAGAATAACATCAAATGATGATAATATTATAATCATAGTGATAGTGTTAGGATATTCACCAAATATCCTACGAAGAATCATTTTGTAAGTGGGAATACTCTCGATCGATTCCTACTGGTCAATATTATGATCGTCCTAGCTATCAATGTCACGTACTTCAATGTTGTTTCCTATTGGTCGCCATGACTATCAATGTCACTTCAAATGTTGCTTCCTATTGGTTGTCCTAACTGTCAATGTCACAGACTTCAATGTTGTTTCTTATTCGACTTAACTTTATAAATACGCATTATCTGTAATGTTTTATGACCTGGACCCAGGTCCTCAATCCGGGATCTGTGTCTCCTTCAGGACTCGGACCTCATTCTTTCTGAATGCTTGTAGAATACATGTTCTACTTCATATCAGGTCTTCTTCTTTTATTCAATGGGGGTTTGGGACAGTCGGATTAGAGTAGCATGTCGTGTCACCGGATCCTCGCTCCTCGCTCTCATTTTTCCGACTCGTATTAGTTCAAGCATATCAAAATGACATGTTTACGTGCATGCGTAACAGATAGTAATAATAATCATAACGATAACAATTCGGAAACCGGTTAAGAATTTTACAATATTCATCTCAGTAAAATAATTCCATTGAGTAGAAAATTGAATATCTGACATTTTGTGACTTAATGTAAGTCAACGCTTTAGATAATAAACTCCACAGAAGCAACACACTAAGTCACTAGTCATGACATTAACACCATATACACATGAATTCATTTTACTAAAAGAAAACATTTTATGGATACTTATTTATAAGCCTAAGTTACAATGAATTTTGTTCATTGTTATAAGAATACTGTGCTAGTTTTTTTTCGGCTTTATGACATCAATAATTTCCACCATATTTAAATACTAGTTGTAGGCTTATTTTATATATAAAAGCAGTGTGATCAGTGTTATATTGTTTGAATGGGCAAGTAACCGATTTTGTGATCTTGATCAAAATGAGAAAACAATTCATCTCTCTAAACAATATCACTAGCATCAATGACCAAAGAATAAGATTACATAAAGTGTTATGTATATATAATCACTGTCTGGTATTGTTGATGAGTTCCATACCAGGACAAAATGGCCGTCTTTATGTGCTTCCAGGTTTCTAATAGTGGTCTAGTAACGATTGATTCATGATTTCAGCAAAGTAACTCAACACTCTCTCCACAACTTTATCATGCATATGGTAGAAAAGCTAACATTCTACTGTCTTGAGAGGTTTGAGTACAATAATGATCAAGAAGACAGATAGACAGACAGATACAACACAGAACTTCGTATGTATGTACATCAATTCAAGTTGCCATACCGCATTAGCACAAAGATGCAAATGTCAGTTCAAATCCATTAGTGGTAGAGATAATATAAGTATTAGCAGTACTGGAAAAGATTAGGGTATAAGTCAGTAAGATGAAATTAGAAAGAGAAAGAATTCATAAGGTTAGAATTTAAGAGAACACAAAGAATGGATGCACCTCCTGCACCATAGCAAACAATTTTGAGCCATGTCTTTCAAGGTCTCTAACCATTGGTGACTTACGTCTCGTGGACCCTAACCAAGTAGCCTACATCTACCAACATGACTCGGTCCACTTGTCACTTAATAATCAAGAAGATTAATTCACGAGAAATTTCAACAAGTACTTGATGAATTCCAGTTTTTCTTTAAAAACAAAATTAATTATCAACTTACGTTACTGTATGTTCGTTTGATTTACTTCGATTATCATTAGTGTTCATATCATTAGCAGTAGTAGTAGTACTAGTAATAGTATTATTATTATTGGAAATATTATGAATTTGTGAAATATCCATATTTGTACTATCGGTCAATGTATTCAATGAATTATTCATCTTTGTTTCATTCATATTCAGCGATGTTGTTTTAGTTAAAGAATTCATTTTGGTTGTATCATTTAAATTTGTATTTAATTTGTACATTTGATAAATTTGATTTGTCAGACTATTATTATTATTATTAGTCATGTTTAAATCTGATTGGACATAATTAGTGTTATTACCAATCATTGAAGCTAACCATAATTTTGTTTCATTTGAATTTAAATCAAAATTTGCGCCCAATGGAATTAATGATCCATTCGATGTGGATGGGGATGAGGACAAGGTGAAAAGATTTGAATTTTGTACATTATTAGATTGATTAATGAATGATGGTAAATTAAGTTGTGTAGTAGTAGGGAAATTTAAATTTGAAGTTAAGAATGGAGTATTGGCAAGTTGTTGCTATTCATTGATAGAGAACAATTCAAAATTAAATAGAAATAATTATTAACTAAACTGGATTAGTAATTGTCTATGATACTTATGAGTAGGAACACAATAGATAAAAAAAAATAAAGGTATTCATCTGTTGGGAACGTTAGATCCCCAGAACTCACTTAGAAAAAGTCCTAATTTTGTAATTTATTTCTGAAATTTCGGCTTTCTATGTTTTCGCGCCAAGAGACGCTTAGTTGACACCTACAGCTTACATTTCCCACTCGGAAATCCTTGGCTGTGATTGGTTGACGTGTTATTTTGGTACGCTATTTTCTGGCTCTCACCAAGGGCGTTGCTATCATTGTATAAATAAGCTTGATTTAAGTGCTTAGGAACCTGGTATTTTCTGGGTGCTTATAGAATACACCACCCGTAGCTTTCATTCAGCCTACCTCAACACCACAAAACATAGCTCGTTGAGGCAGTCGGTGGTTGGACTTTCGTAAAACATGTACCAACCACCCTAACTGATGAAGTTTCAATACTTCATCGATTGTACCACGATGTACGAGCAATGCCTTCGGAGACACCTATGATCGAATACTAATATCCTACTCCTAGTGGCGATGTTTCATAGCCATATGGTAGGGCAGAGCAAACTGCTGTGCAGTAGTTTCGTCCTTTGGTTAGCAAATGGATATGTCGCCTACATCATAAGTCACGCAAGTTGCTAAAAGCCAATCGAACCTTCTGTATCTGTGCTGTGGTTTTGTCAGACACCAGGTCGTCAACACTGACGAAACTCCTAAGATAAGTGAAACGGTCAACACGCTCAACTGCTTCACTTCCTATCACTAGTTCAGGTGCCGATGAAACCCAATCTTGAAGCAATATTTTACATTTCGAGGGGAAAACCACATCCCGAACATGCTTGAATTGTGTTGCTTAAGTTGGTCAGAAGAGTCTGTATTTTTTCAGCGTCTTCACCCATAGTAATCCATAAATTGTCCGAACAAAGTGATCATCGCATTAAATATCTTATAACAATGAAGAAGTGAATCTTAGTTTTGTGTTTTTTCCCACTATATAGTGCGGCTTCAAATAGCTTAATCTCACCACGACACCGATAGATATCAATTTTTTCATGTTCAAAATTTTATTTTATTAAAGTGATAAGCATAATCTAACAAATACCTTAGACATTAAAAGAAACAGGACGTTCAAAGTATGAGAAATGGTTATCCGTTATGTAAAAGAGACTAAAGGTTTTCTACAAGCCCAATAATGAAATCTTAACATTTTCTACATAAAGATTTAAAAGCTAGTTCTAAGATCAATCCTATGTCATTTCTCAGTTTTATACTTTGCTATGAAAAACATTCTAGTTTACAATTATGAAATTGTATTACTGAGTATAAAGTCATTTCGACTGATCGTTCACTAACACACAAATAAACAGTTTGATTATTCTTCACCATGTAAATTGACGATGTTCATGTGAACTAGCAGACGCAACAGAATAGGATATGATTTGAAATACTTTGTGGATTCATGTGGTCAGACTGTTTGTGATGTGAACAGCTTGGTTGTTGTATAGTATATATCTGCTCAATGTCTGTTTCCCTACTCTTTGAAAATTATATTGACTTACTCTCCTTCTGCATCCCGACCGTAGCTGCTACCTTGACGTGGTGGTCACGCTTGCCTATCGTCATGACCAACCGAGCTATACTGGTTAGAACATATGTTCCTGAAGGTTCTTCCATGCCAGACAGGTCGATTGGAGAACGATCAGACTAAAAACAGCAACTCAAGGTCTGAGGGCGAAGTCGTACTTGCTGACTGCAGAAGGGTGTGACAGCAGTAAGGTGTTTCCCTCGGACAACCAGCATCTGCAGCGATGCTGCCTTCTCACAAGGAAGGAAGGGTTAGAAAAGGTCGACCCTAAAAATGTCACATCTCACCCTACCTCACGGATTTCCGTCTCCGGCGGTAAGGGTGCCCACTAAGGGCTTTTAAGAGCGGAGCTAATACTAAAAAAACCTTTCATCAAAAGGCCGTGCGTGACCGGCCTCAAGCAGTTGTCCCCTGGGCTCTGCGGTCACGCTCCCAGGTCTCTAAGACCGTCATTGATCTACCTTGCTTTTCAGGTCCCCCTCCTTCTGCATAGTATCATTTATATTGATCTGATTATTTTCAGGACGATGAACAGAAATGCTACTTAACTTTCAGTCCTTTAATGGAAATTGATCGATTAGGTGCATGTTGTGTAAATACATCATATTTTCAAATCAACTACGTCAACTTAAACAGACTATGGGAATTTGTAGAAAGGAATAACTGCTTCTTAACAAAATCAAATATTCTCATGCAGTTAATTCATCTTACTAGTTAGTGGCCATAGAGAGAGAGGTAGAAAGTTTATATAAGGAGAAACTAATTGATGAAGCAAGCAATAGCACTGGATAGTTAGTTAGTTTAGATATCAGTTAACTAAGTGTCATTCAATAACCACGTATATTCTTATGAGTAACTAACTACAGTTATCTTGAACATTGAAATGATTGTTATTATGTAATTAACAACAAAGTACATGAAGTAAGGTTAGAATCTAATACTCATTAAATCTTACAGTCAAGTGTGTAATATATCAGTAAGTTACTGTTAGGATATTCATCCAATATCCTAAGAGAATTATTGGTCAATTCCTATTGGTTAATTTCTACTGGTCAATTTTATGATCGTCCTAGATATCAATGTCACGTACTCCAATGTTGTTTCTTATTGGTCGTCTTAACTGTCAGGGTCACAGACTTTGATGCTGTTTCCTGTTCAAACTAAATGTATAAATAAGCATTATCTGTAATGTTTTATGACCTGGATCCGGATCCTGATTCTCTTCTGGGCTCGGACCTTGTACTTTCTGTATGGTTGTAGAATACAGGTTCTTCTACTTCGTATCAAGTCTTCTTCTTTTACTCAATATGGGGGTTGGGACACTCGGATTAAGGTAGCATGTCGTGTCACCGGATCCTCGATTCTTGCTCTCGTTTTTCCGACTAAGGTAAAGTCGTAATAGTTCAAGCATATTAAAATGACATGTTTACATGCATGCGTAACAGTCACACAGTTCCACGCAGTTTGGAATGATTTCTGATGAGATTTAAAGGTTTTAAGTCTGTTAGGATATTCATCCAATATCCTAAGACAATTATTGGTCAATTCCTATTGGTTAATACCTATTGGTCACTTTTATGATCGTCACACACTCCAATCTTGTTTCCTACTGGTCGTCTTAACTATCAATATCACAGCCTTCAATACTCTTTCCTATTCGACCTAAATGTATAAATACGTATTATCTGTAAAGCTTTAGATACCGTCCCTTCCTGCCTTCCTCTCCACTGTACTCAACCTATTAAACAACTTCATGAAACGGTGTTGTGTTCTGATACATAGGAGATTTGGGAATAGTATTTGGGTCGTATTGGAATATTTGAAATCAGACATCGGTAAGATTTGAATAGCTACGTAGTAGCATTACAACAAAGTCCAGTATCAAAAAAGACTTACAATAGATAAAACCGATTCAATAGTCTCGAACTCAAGTAAAATAAAACTACTTTCAATCTTGTAAATAATATCATTTTAAATGACCAATATAACTGTTATTGTATTCACAAGGTAAACGCATTATTATTTGACATTTTAAATACAGACATTCAATAAAACACTATTTCAAAAATATTAAACTTACTGAAAGATTATTTGAAATAATTGGATTTAAATTTCCAAGTGTTTGTTTCAACATTTGATAAGAACGTAGATGTTGAGGATGTTGATTTACTAATAGATCAGAGTTAATATTTGATTGATTTATGCTTGAATTAGTAAGTCCAAGTAAATTCAATGAATTCAAACTGGAACTGTTAGTATTCATATTCATATTATTAGTAGTAATAGAAGGGTAATTAAAAGTAGTATTATTATTATTGTTACTATTATTATTATTGTTATTATTGCCATTGAACATAGTTGTCTGTGATTGTTGTGATTGAGTTGCCAATGGAATATTTGATGAAATGATATTTTCCAATGGAAATGAACTAAAAATCAATAAATAAAGTTAATGATAGTTTAAACAAACATTTCCATTCTTAGATAGAATTATCTCATATGAGTCTAAGCTATAAATATAAACATAATTGAGTTTACTGAAAAGTTTAGAAATGAGTATTTTTGAATGTAGTTTTGATTGTAAATAGATTTGTTTGAATATTATGAGTATACTTTCAACTAACAAAATAAGACTTCATAATCAAGAATGGGTATATATGTAGACAGACGTAGGAAGGATTTGATTTTGACCAATTTGGTCTCGTGTGCTGTTACGGGAATGGGGGCGGTTGTCACTTAACGGCTGCCAACACTGTGGAAGGTTGTTTCTTGAGGGACCTGAAAGAAAAGGTAGATTAGTGTTGGTCTGAACGACCTGCGAGCGTGACCGCAGAGCCCAAGGGACAATTGCTTGAGGCCGGTCACGCACGGCCTTTTTATTAAAGGTATTTTGAGTGTTAGCTCCGCTCTTAAAAGCCCTTAGTGGGCACCCTTACTGCCGGAGACGGAAATCCGTGAGGTAGGGTGAGGTGTGACATTTTTAGGGTCGACCTTTTCTATCCCTCCCTTCACTGTGAGAAGGCAGCATCGCTGCAGATGCTGGTTGTCCGAGGGAAACACCTTACTGCTGTCACACCCCTCTACAGTCAGTCAGCAGTACGACTTCGCCCTCAGACCTTGAGTAGCTGCTTTTAGTCTCATCGTTCTCCAATCGACCTGCCTGGTATGGTAGAACCTTCAGGAACATATGTTCCTACCAATATAGCTCGGTTGGGTCATCACGATAGTCGAGCCCGACCACCACGTCAATGTAACAGCTACAGTCGGGGAGCCAAAGTACACAGATCCTGCATAATCGACTCATCAACAAATTGATAATAACCAACGTAATCCTTCCATTCACATCAAGTTTGACTATCCGATCAATTTGAGGAAGTATAATAAAGTAATGTATTAATGTAATGTACTAAGTGTTATTCAGCATGATCGTCAGACAAATCGATTAGCAAATCAGAGGGGGCAGACAACATACCAGTTAAGGCATTGAAGGCAGATATTACAGTAACTACAAAGATGCTACATACTATGTTCAGCAAGATTCGGGATGAAGAACAAGTAATGTCGGGCTGAAGAGAAGAATACCTAACCAAGATATTAAGGAAAGGGGATGTTGGTAAATGTGAGAACTAGAGACATCACAGTTCTGCTTGTACAAGCGAAAGCTTTCAATAGGGAAATGTTGGACCGAATGAAAGATTATGTAGACGCCCAACTTTGAGGCCAATATGCTCTATTTCGTAAGAATACATTGTGTACCGACCAAATTTATATACTACGGACCATTATGGAAAAGTCAACTGAATGGAACTCATCACTGTAAATCAACTTCCTCAACTACGAGAAAGCACTTGATAGCGTTGACAGGCTGAAATTATGAAGTCTTCTTCAACACTATGGCGTTACTGAAAAGATAGTCAATATCAGACGGAATTCTCATGATGGCTTAAACTGAAAGATCGTGCATGGAGATCATCTCAAAGATTCATTACAAGTGAAAGCCGGTGTAAGACAAAGCTTCTTACTCCCGCCTTTGCTCCTTCTCCTGGTGGTCGACTGGATTATGAAAACGTCAGTATCTGAGGGGAAGCACGAAAATCAGTGGACAGCTTGAACGCAGCTTAAACGATTCGATTCTCGCGGATCACCTGGCTCTTCTACCCTGCACACACCAACAAACACAAGTGAAGATTGTCAGTGTAGCAGCAGCCTCTGCAGTAACAGACCTCAACATTCACGTGGGAAAGCGTGAGATTCTAAAGCACAACACAGAGAGCACCAACCAAATTGCATTTGATGGGGAAGCTTTGGAAGGTGTGGAAACCTTTACATACCTGGGCAACATCATTGATAAACAAGGTGAATCCGATGCAGATGAGAAGACATGGATTGACAAAACAAGGTGCGCATTTCTGCGATTGAAGAATAGCCGGAACTGAAAAAACTATCCACCAACACCAAAGTAACAATTTTCAGTACGAACATTAAAACCGCTCTATTGTGTGGAACAAAAATTTGGATAACTAGGAAGGCCAAAAGATACAAATGTTCGTTAAAAGTTGTTTAAGCAAGATACCGAGGAACCGTTGGTAGGACACAATCAGCAACAAACTACTGTGGTAGAGAACGGACTAGATTACAGCTGAGCAAAAAATTACGAGAAAACACAGGAGGTGGATAGGACATACATATCAGAAACCACTATGGTGCATCACCAAACAAGCCCTAACTTGGAACCCTGAAGACCAGAGGGAAAGAGCAGACTAAAGAGCACACTACGTCCAAAACTGGAGACAGACAAGAGAAGAATGAATAGCAATTACGTATAACTAACTAGAAAGGAAGGCACAGGAAAGAGTTGGTTGAAGAATACTGGTTGGCGGCCTATTTCCCATTAAGGATAACAAACATAGGTAAGTTATAAATGTTTTAATTAACTTTATGCATAAATAAACTTACAGATTATTCAAAGATTGCTTTAAGAGTTGATTAGGATTATTGAGATTTTGAAGCATTAGAGCAGCAAGAATCGCTTGACTATTTTGACTATTAGTACCATTCATTTGATTATGTTGTTGTAAAGCAATAGCTGTAGCAGCTGCTGCTAAATTTTGCTGTTGATGTTGAGCTTTCAAAAGATTGACTATAGCTGCAGGTGATGGTGATGAGGTTGACGATGACGATAACGACGACGGTATCGACGCTGATGTTACTGTAGATACAGAGGATGGTGACAATGATAATGATGATGACTTGTTTTGACCCAATACTAAATTGTTTCCTGACAAATTACTAGAATGCAAACTTGGCAAATGACGTAATCCACTTAAAGTATTAGTTTTATTGACAATTCCAGCACCTGACATTGCAGCTACAGCAGCAGCAGCTGAAATCGCTGCAGCGACAACAACATTATTACTAGTTCCTATAGAAGTTCCATTAGTTCGTAGTCTGGAAGTCATAGTACTAGTACAATTATTCAATCCAATATTTTGGCTATTAAAGTTAGGAGCTGAAAAGTTTTCATCAACAAAAAAAAAGGCTTAAGCTTTTTATATTAGATAAAAATATTCAGATAAAGTTAGAAAGGCATCATCATCATCATCATCATCACCTTACAAACCTATTATTAATAGGATGGAAAGTTTTTAGATTTCAATCCTGACGAGGAGTTCAACAGATATCATCACCAATGTTGGATAATGATTTCACGACTTCGTTTAAGTTGAAAAGGTGAGTATTACTGGACAGTTTTGTTGACTTATCACATTCGCTACGAGACATATGAAAGTCCTAGGTCGCATTCTGTATAAGGTTATGAATGCACGTTGCTTATGAATTCAAAACGAAGATGAAATGTCTGTTCACTGTTCAAACAGTTTGGGTAAATCATCAGATAATGTCAGCCAGTAATAAAATCTAACTTAAAATATGTGACATCATTTTTCGATGATGTAAATAGCTACGTATATGAACAACAAACCAAGGAATGTTTAGACATGAATATTTTGTTTGAAAAAATGGTCAGATTTGAAGATAAACATCAATCACAGTATGGACATTCTAGGACAATTTGTCAACGATACAGTTAATATATAATCCAGGTAACTAATAAAAATAGTATATCTACTTATAAACTATTAACTGAAAATGTACTGACGAAATACTCATTCTGCAAATTATTCAAACAGAAGTACAAATTAATTACACAATTAGAAAACTTTCGATATTTATTGATACTAACCAAAATACTTGCCTGAAAAAAAAGTCTAAATAGTAAATTTTCATGAATGACTATAAACACTTGAGAAGATTCATTGCACTTCACATCTAATCTAATTATGTATTATACACTCAAGTGATTGGAAATATATATATATATATATCCGGTACAACGAATGGTTGCGTCTAACATAAAGATTGTACGTGATGCAATATGGAGAATATCAAACACATTTCCTGTATTTTAGGTCAAGTTTATGCAAATACCTGCTCAATAGAGCGACAAACAAATGTCCAAATAGTTTAAATCGACTAAATACATATCCAGGCTTTTTCTTCGAAGCTTTCTGTCACAAACTGGTATCAACCCAGATAATCGTAGAAAGCTATGAAGCAATGGGCAGCTATTTGCCCCTAGTATGATACTCCTCAAAAGTGCACATCCACATCTTCCAGTGGTAAGTGTGTTACTCTTAGACGACTGAGTATGAATCATCCAATGGTTTATATAATCCAGTTATTGATTAGTGATTATAGCAAGATGATCAATAGAAACTCCAATAATCTAAAGCTATAATAAATGATATCAACTAATCAGAAAACAGGCATTCATCTGACTTAATATGAACTACGTAAAACAGGAATTATCGAATAAATAGTTTTTAAACTTTGTACAATTACTTGAACATGATAACTATACTGTTAGGATATTCATCCAATATCCTAAGAGAATTATTGGTCAATTCCTACTGGTTAATTTTATGGTCGTCTTAGATATCAATGTCACGTACTCCAATATTTTTTCTTATTGGTTGTCCTGACTATCAATGTCACTTCAAATGTTGCTTCCTATTGGTCGTCATAACTGTCGATGTCACAGACTTCGATGCTGTTTCCTATTCAACCTAAATGTATAAATACGCATTATATGTAACATTTTATGACCCGGACCCGGACCCAGATCCTCATTTCGGGACCCGTGTCTTCTTCTGGATTCGGACTTCGTACTTTCTGGATGCTTGTAGAATACAGGTTCTTCTACTTCATTTCAAGTCTTCTTATTTTTACTCAATACGGGGTTTGGGATAATCGGATTTGAGTAGCATGTCGTGTCACCGAATCCTCGATCCTCGCTCTCGTTTTCCGACTAAGGTAAACTCGTAATAGTTCAAGCATATCAAAATGACATGTTTACGTGCAGGCGTAACACTAACACTGGATTGTGTCCTTCATGAATGTTTTTAGATTCAAATAATTAGCGTCATGTTTGAACATATCAATGAAGTATTGGATAAAAAAATTATATGAATAATAAGTTTGTCACCACTATCTTCTTTTAAATTACCTTTACTTGCTCCAATCGACATCGTATTATCGTTTCGTTTCTTTGTAAGAACTCGTGTGGTAGCATGATTTACCTAAAATTTGTATGTATACAACATTAATTGAGAATCATTTCAAGCAAAAACATATAACCTTCATAATACTTCTTCACCATGAATAATGAATGAATTTATTACGTTTATCGATAACATTGAACAAGAACTAACAGCCGACAATGATGCTTATTGTCATCTGCAATAAACAGTAATTGTAGTAAACCTACTGAATAGTAAAATGAGTAGTATCACAGATATTTAATAAAATTCTGACGCATGCTTTTATTTAACTAGGAATGAAAAAAATAAATAGCAAAAACTCAACAATACGGAAAGCCAAATGATAAAAATAGTTAACAACTATAGTGGACAAGGATTTTGACATGTGAAATTTGAAAAAATTATCAACCAATTAAAGTGAATTACAGTTAGGACTGACTGTTTATTTGTTCGATAATGATAATTTCCATTAGTTCCGTTCCTATTATTTATGTAAAAATCTCTCATCTGTTGACAGGTATTATATAACTAACTAATAGCTAGCTAGATAATTTATCGCTTACCTAATTGATCAATTGAATAGACGACATTGAATATCAAAAAGTGAACAGTTGATCTAATGTAGTTTTGGAAATACACACTAATGTACCAAAGTGTACTGATCAACCATTTTCAATAGGAGCATGAATCGTAAACTGCTTAAATACAGTTCAGCTCAAAACAATCAATGCTACTGTTCAGTAATGTCATCCGCCAATGAATATCTACTCTACACTCAACTTTAATTGATAATTAGACGTTAAGACTAGCTATGATGTGTCCTTTTTGATTTAATGATTGCTTCCGATCAATTATAGTATTGAGTGAGCTTCACTAACTATTACAATACTATTTAAATAATATATCATTAATAGGGATTCCCATACGATTGCTTGATCTCAAAATATGAATGGTTCCTTGCCAGAGACTTTCCTCATCTCTTGTTCTGTACATGTTGCCGAGTGACAGTTGGCAATGAAACGATGGCCCAACGTATATAGATTTACAACCGAACAAACAAACATCAGATCATTTTGAAATCATGAATCGATCAATGTTAGATTAACATTAGAGACCTGGAAACACTGGATGGCCGTTTCGCCCTGGTATGGGACTCATCAGCAGTGCACATCAACGACTCCTGTACCTCGCAGGACTCGAACCCAGGACCTTCGGCTTCTGCGCTCGAACGCCTAACCACTAGACCACTGATCCGATATTTGGCGGTGTTAATGCCTAACTTCGATTACTTCATGATCTTGAGCAACCTCATACACTGTCTTCGGTAGTTACTGTCTATACCCAAACAGGGTTGAACTCCACTGGTCACGACTTCTCATTACATCTCGGAGAAGATTCCTTACGGAGCTAGTCACTAGTGAGCTAAGTAATTTGTATTTGCAAACATTAGATCGAACATATTTGGTATCCCTACATTTTGAAAATCGGTAAAATATTTATCAAAACATTATTCGGTGAATAAAGTGAAATCAATTTATCATAGGTTGTCAGGTACCATTCTCCGTTTTTTACACAGTATCAAGATTTACCGCATTATTATTACAATTGTAATCAATTCTACAAAAAAAATTTTAATAAAATTGCTTAGCCGACATCATATTACAGTGTATTTGAGTAATGTTTACGGAAAATTGTTTAATTCAATTAACATTTAATAAAAATCATTCATTACACATTGAAATTGAAATAATAATAAAAAACCTGAGTAGCATGCTTTGAGTAGACTATTCTCATTACTAACATTACAAATACACAAGAAAAACATGAAATTATGAAGAGTGCGATGGAATTTCTCAGAAAATAATAAATCACCAATAATTCATTACTAATGAACACTAAATTTGTACAATTAGATGCGTAACAAGTGCATTATACACCATATAAGAATGCTTGGCATCATCTATCTGACAACTTTCCTAGTTCATACTTGTTGTAACGCTTGCTTGAATAATTCCCAGCTACATCCTATTGCTTAGTATTCTCTGACCACACAGTACACTGGACAAGTTCCAAAGAATCAAAAACACAGTGGAACAGGAAAAGATTTGTATCCCAAATAGCAAGGTTAAATGGAAATACGAAGCCGAAGGCGAAAAAGAAAAAACGTTAGTTTCTTCATAGCGTTTACATGAGAAGCTTCTGGATTGTAATTTACGTGATCGACTGTGTTAGATTTAGCCAATCAGCGTGCAGCTAACAACACGAGAATTTTCTACCCTGTTCTCCAAGAATCGATCAGGCGCTGATTGGAAAGGAAATTAGCCAATCAGCGCGTAGCAACGTAGTCATGCTTTAATTCCATCTATGTCCCACTAACAATACTTATCAATTACTTTTAGTTGTAATCAATATCACATCTTGTCCAATTATTAGTACAGATTGATTCTTACTGATCAAGTAATAATGACATTCGATGACAACCATTTGAATCGTACGAAAAAAAGCGATTATCTGTCTCTTGAAAGCGGAGATACACTTTAATGTTAAGTTTAGTGCTAAACAACAGTAAAGACAGATTATAAATCTCAACTGTAGTATTTATATCATATAACTCTTTGATAGATTTAAAACTGACCGATGATTTACTAGTCAACGGTAAAACAGATAGAGGAAGAAGTGTGAGTATAATCAAAACTGAAAATAAGTGAACAGGAGGATCAGTTCCTGTCATTTTGAAAAAAGTAAGTGAAAATTACAGCGGAATCGCTATCGATTTCTATTTTGAGCTTTATCTAATATTTTAAGCCATTGAGTTGTCCCACCTTTCTGACCCTAATAAGGAAGTCTTGAAGAAACGACATTTGTCATATTCGTACAGCTTCCTTTCATACGTCTTACCCATATGACCATATCTTCCATTCTTCAAACCAGTGACAGGTTCAGCAAGGGAGGTACGATGTAGAAGTCATGACACGTGTCTGAGCAACTGAAGTCGAAGCGTCCAGATAGTTACATCAATTGAATTGTTGTTAATATGACGGAAAAAACGTTGCCAAACGCATAAATTACCAACATGGCGTCGCCACTAAATGTCAGAGATTCTTTAAAGACAACGATGGTTGAACACACAGTTGCGGCCAAACCAAAACATGACACAAATCAATGAAATCACTGACAACTGCAATGAGCCATTTTTGGTAGGTTTAGACTACCTGATTGAGGTCCGTGAGACAACAGCAACTGACGCTTAGAGACTTTGAACAATATGCCTCAAAATCGTTTACAATAGTTCAGAACCCCTTTCATCCATTACCGCTAATACTTCTACTACCTCTACCACTATGGAATTTGAATTGACAATTGCGTCTCTGTGTATGCTAATATGGTATGGCAACCTAAACGGATGTACGTACGTACAAAGTTCTACGTTGTAGCTATCTGACTGACTGACAGAGTTGCCCATTATATTCAAAAGGAAGTCCATTAGGCAAATAACCAAACTTCTAGGCTGATGGGAGATAAATTATAGACTGTCCAACTATTTCCCTACTATAGTTTTATATTGATTACAAGTATGCATAAAGTTGCGTTTTTAAACAAACAAATAATTGTTCATGGAAATGTATAATAATATGAGAAAATAGTTACAATTCGCGTTGTTCATTTGGTGTAATTAACTAAGTAATCAGTATCACATAAAAATGTTATTTACCTGTCGATCTAAAGTGAAGTACATATACATAAGATTCAAATAAGAAATTTCGTCGAACAATGTGTACAAGCTTAATATATTCATTCATATGCAGGTTTGTAAATAACGCATGCTACTATGGAAAATTTACTTATTTTGTAAGCAGAAAAAGGAATCAAAGATGAAGTATGGTTGTATCGCTTAAGAACAGACAAACTAGTTGAGGAATTTTCTAGTCAACATGCTCAACATCCTAAAATCGGAAGTATTCAACTAAAAGACAAGTCAACATACCTAATAGGATTTTACATGTAAGAAAAAAAGACTTTCATCGGTCAAAATTAACAAAACAAAGAACAAGTATTCTAGTACATATGAGAAAAATAAAAAACCAGGTAAAATTGAACAAAAGATTACTTAGTTTTATGATATAAGAGAATGAGCATATATTGGGTATTATTATCAGGATTAACACACACGAAGTGCACTTGCATTGTATGTGCTGCTTAAAAGAATATACACTTAAGGCATACAAAACAGAAAGTTCAATTATTAAATGACAATGAAGTAAAGAACAGGCAGAATAGTTTTTAGCTCTTAGTTGTATATTGACGACGGACTAGTGAACAAGCGTATAAGCACTAATCAGTTATGTATGTAGTAAGCGAAATTGAAACATCATTCGATCATATTCAATGTGTCAGTATATTTGTGCATATGGAGAGAATGAAGAAGATAAGGCGAAACACACACACAATGCCTATGCAGTATATATTTCATGCAGACAATCAAGACAGATGGGAACATACAAGAAAAAAAAAGAACAAGAAACAGAAACTATTTTTAAATTGTGTGTGTGAAAACGAAACAAAACAAAAATCATGATCAATTATCCATTGGACATGCTAAAAGAGTGAGTGGTGGAATAAGTTTGTTATATTATTGTGTAGATTGAACACATACATTTTTTTTTCAAATTTTAAATCATCATAATTCACAAAAAAATAGGAAGCAGTTAAAGAAAAATAAACTTCTAAATAAAATTTATTGTTTTTATCAGATTTCCATGAAACAAGCAAATTACCAGTAATTGGTAATATATATATATATAGAGATCATTATCGTCGTTATACAATAGGTAATAAGTTGGGTAGGTGAACTGTTGAATAGATGTCAGTGTCTGTCAGTCACTACTTCATTCAAAGAATATAACATTGAAACTAACTGTTAAAGCAATAAATATATATATGTATGACATTGTAGCGCATGCGATTTAAAAAACCAGTGGGAAGTGGGGAGAATAATAATTTGAACAGTTTAATGAAAATATCAACAGTATGAATCTTTTTTCGTTTTCAGAATTATTAAGTTAACTAAATGATGATTTTACTTAAACTAACACAGAAAAATAAGACAAGTCATACAAGAAAATGCACCCAGTCATAATCACATACATAGAGAGCCACACACATACAAACATGCAACAAAAAAAAAAGAAATTGGCGAAGAACATTTAAATCACCTCTTCAAGCCTAAAGTGCATCATAATAAAATAGATTTTGTGATATGAATGTTGATATTAACATGTTAATAACATTCCAGTTATTATAATAAATAACATTACTGTAAATAAATAGATATGTGTCCCTGAAAAAACCATGAAAAAGATAAACCATTTTGGGTTGGATATTTGATCATTGCATTAAATGAAGACACAAAATGATGACAATAATTATGCAATTAAAACAAGTTTATAACTCTGAATTATGAAAATCGAATTATATCGACAATTTTCACCCTGGAACTCGCTTTCTGACGAAGTAGTAAATATCAAGTCATTCGTGATGTTTATTTAATTCAAACTTAATCTAAATACGTAACCAACTGATGATATACGTACTTCTTTATACTAAATAACTCGCAGTTTAAACTTCAAACTCAAAAAATGAGGCAATTTCTGAGAATATATTGATCCTCAACAACTGTTACACTAGTTTAGACATTTCATAGGAGCATCCCTCTCATAGTTCAAATCAGGATATTTGTATATTTCAACTATATTACTTATAAGTAACTAAAATTTTATTACTTAATTTCATGCTCGTGTTTATTGACCTTACATGATGCTCAAGCTAGATAGCAAAATTATCTTTATAAATTACACCAAACGAACTCAGAAGTGTTAATTAAATGGATTTTTCTTCAATGGTAGTCAAGCTATGCTCTGTTCGTAATTTAAACTATGAAAATTGTTAGTGTTGAAGGTCTAATGCTTGAATACGTTTGGCTGTCAATTTAAACAGTGTAATAGTGATAATTATGTTGTAACCGTAAATCAGACCGGATATCCAGTTGAAGATTTTGTACTATATAAAATGATATGAATTTTAGGTAGGAAATATTCTGAATTCATGATAGGACTTTAAAAAAATACATTTAGCTTCAACCTTCAAGATTGATTTGAATCACTAACTTGAATTAATAACTATAAGGTCTGAACATAGTTTTTATTGAAAACAATATTCTTCTGTCATATATTTGTGTTTTCAATATGCTCTGGATTTTCCTATAGTATATAAACTACACAATTTTTCGTCGGTTTAGGTGCTACGGTGAATTGAAAGTTTTCAACCACGTTTGTACTAAGTACTGACTAACATTGTTGGTTCTGTCAACTTTGAACCGACGTTTGTAGTTCGAATTAATCAGTATTCACTATCAAGACAGCCTTTTGCATTTAATTAACCTTGATAAATATATCTATCCCCACGCAGTACAAATGTATGTGTAAATTTGAGTGTTTACCTCAAGTGAACTGGTACAGTTCAACTGGATGATGAAATTTAAACATAGTTGTTGAAATGCAAATAGAGAAATTTAATTTGAATTGGGAAAAAAAACTAGTTTATAGCCTGACAATGAGATATACGTCTTTACTGTAACATAAAATTTGTTTCTTAATGATGGGAAGAAGATGTGGTTTAGAAAACAATAACTCTAAGAAAATTGGAATTGTTAAGTAAAAGTAACTAAATGAATGAATTTTTTCAGTAAAAAAATTCTTTCATTGTTGAAAGTTTTAAATTACAAAGTGATAAAATGCAATTAATAGCAAAAAGTTGAATAATTTATTGTTAGAAAAATGATATACAGAAAAAAAATGTTTACAAAATGAAATGAATAAGGTAGGCGGATTGAATGTTATTTACAGTTTAAGCTTACTTAACAAACTAGATTTGAATTTTAAGCAAAAAGAAGCTTAGAAGATTACAAATAGCTGAATAAGTTTCGCATTTGAACAGTTTTTAATGTTGAATAGACTTTAGAAATAGTTCTTGGAATGTAGAAAATAACTAATGTTGATTATCTGCTATAAACTGTATGGAACTTCCTACTTATTTAGATAGTTGTATCACTGATGACGTCTTTACAAGTTGATTTATAAATTTGTTGGGATAAGTGTTACGTATGCCTAACCACCAACTGCCTCGTCGAGTGATGTTTTGTGGTGTAGGAGTAGGTTGGAAGAAAGTTACGGGCGGCCAGACCGAAACATGGCACAAACCCATGAAGTCACTAACAAGTGGACTGAGTCATGTTGGTAGATGTAGGCTACCTGGTTGGGGTCCGCGAGACGAAATTAACCGATGGTTAGAGACCTTGAACGACATGGCTCAAAATCGTTTGCAATGGCGCAAGTGCATCCATTCGTTGTGCTCTCTCAAATTCAAATCTGAATTCATCATCATCTCTATCCTTCTCTTTCTAAATTTATCTCACTGAATTATACTTCTCGAATCATCTCTTCGAACCATATTCTTCTCCATTACTGCTAATTCTTCTACTACCACTACCGCTACGTGATTTGAACCAACAGTTGCATCTCTGTGCTGATGTGGTATGGCAACCTGAAATGAGGTACGTACGAAGTTCTGCGTTATATCTGTCCGTCTGTCTATAAAATTAGATGACATTAGGTGTTTAATACTATGTCTCATAGATCTGATCTGAACAGACTTCAACATGGAAATACAGACTGACAGTAAGTTACAGAAAGATTTATGACTGCCTAAACCAAATTAGGGCACAAAATCATGAGCTAAACAAATGTTTGTACTTATATAAGAAATCTTCAATCTCCTAAACTACAATCCTCCAAAAAGTATAAATCCATAGCAAACATTCAACAACATAATTGGAATACAGTGTCTTATTGCTT